CAATTGAAATTTTGTTTTAATAAAAAACAACAAGTTTTTAAGTTATTGATTTTAATTTATAGCATTTATCTTCCTGAAAAAAAGTATTTATGTTCCTGAAAAAGTTGCATAAGTCTTTTTTTTTTTGTATCAGATATACTCCTAACTTAATTAGTTTTGTCATAAACTATTTATGAAAAAATGAGTTTTGAAGTACAACTCAAAATCAACAGTTATTTTCCATAAATCACGCTAAATAAAATCTAATTCATTCAAATTAAGTTTGAATATCAATTCCTTGTACGATAATACATTGATCGAGTTCTTTTATACTAGTTCTAATCTATCAAATCACCATGGTTAAGTTGTGAAGCATACAAATTATGTAACAGTCTATCTTAAATAATATGATTTTATTTGTTAGATAAAAAGAAAAAAATGTTCATTAATTAAATTATTTTCAAAAAACTTATCGAGATGATTTTTTTTTAAATCTCACATGTAGGTATTTTATCGGCTTGACTTTACAACTCGAAATTGGATAAGTCGGTTATTCTTATAAAACTAAAAAAAGTGAACATTTTACTATTCACTTACGCGTGTAGTGCCAGATTCGGTTATACTGTGGACGGTATTTTCGTGATTTTTTGAATTTTGATGAGTGAAAATTATGTAATTTTTTATATTTTGGTTCTTGATATTTTCAAACGAATATTTCAATCTACGTCTTCTTTTGCTCATTCATTTTGATCTCTAGGTTGAGAGATAAGGGTGGGCTGAAGAGAGAGACAGGATGAGAGAGAAATCACCGATCAAGTTTATTTAGGCCACTTTGATTGGTAAAAATTCATTAGATTTTTTTATTTTTGAGAAATGAATTTATACATGATGGTTTCAAGCTATTAAACAATCAGATAAGATAGATCGGAGCCAAAAAAGAAAAAAAGTTTCGATTTGATTGTGTATTTTTTTTATTTTAGTGTACATTAAAATGATTTTTAAGGTTTTAGATGTGTTTATTGGCTTTATTCTGATCATTTAGAGGTGTTTGAAGAAAACAATGATACCGAAATTTAATTTCTAGAGATCTGAAATTTTAACTTCAATTTTTCGATGAGGCTTCTGACGACCTTGAGTTCGTCGGAAGTTGCAGAGTATTTTTTTTTTTTGGGGTTGAGAGCTGGCCATGCCTGGCGCGTGGGCCTGCAATCGCAAGCCCTAGCGCGCTAGCCTGGCTCACAGGGCAACCAGGCGTGGCATTTTCCCTTTTTTTTTCTATTTTTTCTTCTTCTGTTTCTTTCTATATATATATATATATATATATATATATATATATATATATATATATATATATATACACACACACACACACACATGCGAGCTGGCCTGTCTGGCAGGCGTGAGCTGGCTTTTTCCTCTTTTTTTTTTTTAAAAAAAAAACATTTAGACGTATATATACACAAGTTCTTACCGTTGCTTTCCTTTTTTGCCTACCCTTTTTTCACCCATTTTTTTGTAACTCCTCCTTACTTGGACAGAGCAATTAATGCTCAATCATAATGCTTCTGCTGCACCTTTTTTTTTCTTTGGAATATATATTGTGAGTTTAGTTAGTTTTATCTTTTTTGTTTTGATCCTTGCATTATAAATATGTTTTTATTTGGTTTTTTGAATTTCAAAATGTTTAAAATGATCCTAAACTCGTAAATGCTTAAGTTGAAATATATTTGACAAAAATTAAATATTTTTGATAGAGAGTGAATATTGCAATAGTTAACATGATTTGAAATTGTGTTAGTTAATGAGATAACTTTATATAATTACACAAAATAGAATCTAAATTTTTTCATTGATTCAAAATATTTAAAATGACCTTAAACTATATATGATTAATTTGAAATATATTTAACAAAAAATAAATATTTTTAATAGAGGTTAGATATTGCAATAGTTAACATGATTTAAAGTTTTGTTAATTGATGAGATAACTTTATATGGTTATCCAAAATAGAAAATAGGTGTATTCATTATTGTATTATAAGAATTTAGTTTAAAATATTTGCCTTTCATGTTTTATATTTTTTAATTTGTGTATTATAAGAAGAACCGACCAATTATTAAAATACAGTTTTTATATTAACATTATTGATTTTATATATATATATATATATATCATGAAATTAGGTGTGAAAAAATTTAAAAATAAATTGTTATTTTTTAGTTTTGCATACATTGAAGATGATAGAGTATATATATATTACTTTTATTGTTTATTTTTTTTCAATTATTTGTTTCTTATTAAAATTCACATCAAATTAATTTTATGATATAATTTTATTTGTTAATAAATTTAGTTTTTTAATATATGAATTTTGGAATAAAAATTTAAAATGTGAGTGTCTTATATTATTATAATTTATACAATAAATTAATTTTTTTGCTTTTAAAATGAGTTTTTTATTATAATTTATAAATTCAATTATATATATATATATATATATATATATATATATATATATATGAGAGAGAGAGAGAGAGGAGGGAGAGAGAGAGAGATAAAAATATGTTTTACATAGTTTGACTCTTTTTTTAAAAAAATTAATAATCGCTTAATGGAATTCACAAGTTTTAATTGTTTTTCATATATATATTTATTCGGAATTTATCGAAATCAATTTTATTGTGGTTTTTATTTTAATATGTTGACTTCAATATATTTTATACAATTTTGGTGTTTTTTTGATATATTTTATTTATTTCGAATCGTTAAGTATGATATATATATATATATCTTTTTTTGTTAGAATTAATCGTATATATGCACACATAATACCAATTATTTGTTATTTATTTTCTTATATTTTTATATTTATTTTTTAAATAAAATAAGTTAGATAATATTTCGAAAGAACCTCTTAATTATTTAAATACTAATTTTTATGCTAATATTATTAAATATTTTGTTAATAAATATATATAAATCAAACGATTTTGCTCAATACATAGATTCGATTTACATTAATCATAAGAAATAAAACTTCTACTTACACTATATCATACGAATCGTTAATTCTACATATCCAACGAGTTGTTTTACCGCAACAGTAACGCGGGTATCGAACTAGTGAATTCTAAACCAGGACCTATGTAGAATCTTTCACCAATAAAAGTGTTTGTTGTAGATTTGAGTCTCTTGACATCCTCATACAAGCCAGCAAATTTGAAACTAGGCTAACACTCGTATCATTTCTCTTAAAAAAAAAAAAAATCTAGAGTTTGAACCCAATTTCATTCATAACAAGGGAAAAAAAAAATCCTCTTATAAAATCATCAAAACTAAAAAAAATCCAAAATTGATGATTTCTCATCCCTAAAATTAAACATTTTAAGAGAAAGGGATTGCCAAACACACATTTAAAAGATAAAGCAGATTCCTATTTAGGGAAAAAGTACCCGGGAATTTACCATTGATGCAAAGAAATCTGGTGTCACTGATGTGTGCTTTATTTGGCTTATAGACATCCAAGACTCATAAATATTGTATAAAAAAAATCCATTGTCATTAAAAACAGCACAAACTAAGATTAAGTAAAGCAAAGTGGAGGGTTAATGTTTCCCTTTTCTTTTGTATTTAAAAGATTTATTTACTGATTTTTTTTAATTATTATTTTAACATCAACGCACGTTTTATATTGTTATCCTCATTACACCCCTGTGGTAGTTAGTTTTACTAACGCAGTTAAAATCTGACTTGTGACATTATGAGATTTCTGGTTGATGTATATTTTGATCATTTTAAGTCCTTAAATGAAAGTTCATTTGGTCATCTATTTTATAGTGAATACAATTTCATTCTTTACATGATTTTTTAAATTAAATTCCTATATGTTAAATTATAAACTTGGTCAAAATTCTCATGATAGATATATGATATTATAAAAACAAATACTTAACAAAATCCCAACAATATCAACCACAATAATTTAAAAAATAATCACATTTATTCAATTAATTTAATCAAATAAAAATTATAAAAAAAGTTTAGGGATTGAGTTATTATTTTGATATATAATTTATTTTCTGACTTTTTCGACATATGTGAACATGTTGTGATTTTGTTGCTGTAATAATGAATTGTTTAAATTGTGTATGGTGATAGAGAATTAAATTGACATATTTGGTCTTGTAAGGATTTCGAGTTAAACAAAATATTGGTTTTATAAGTATCAAATTGTTGTTGTTGGTTATTATAAAAATATATGCCTAAGATAATAGAAGAAAAGAAATTTAAAATCAAAACAAAAACACTTCATATATTTAAGATAACATGATAACTTTCATTAAATATACTATTTGACATATAGAAATATAATTTAAAAATCATCTAAGGACTATTTTTTATAAAGTACAATGACCAAAAAATTTCAATTAAGGACTTTTTTATAAGAACAATAAAATAAAGAAATCAAAGTAAATATTTTTAAAAATTGTACGGACCGAAATGTACATGAACAAAAAATTTCACACTGCCACTTTGTCAAATTTTAACTATGTTAGTAAAACAAACCAAGAGAAGAATGTAATAATGATGAAAATATCATGATATTAAGATTAAAAATAATAATAATAAAACCATTTTAATATAAAAGAAAAGGTATAGGGATGTAGGAAACCATTAACCCAAAATCGAGGATTATATACAGTCTTTGTGAGTTTTTAGAGGGAAAAAGGAAAATTTATGTAAAGGACAAAAGAATCAAAACGCCTTCGGTTTTCGAAACAGTCTCTCTCTCTCTGGTTGACATACACGAGCTACGTTTGTAGTTCTTGCAATACTAACGAGTCAGTTTATTTAAATCTATCTCTCAGATATCTCCGCTTCTTAGCTAAAGAAAAAAAAAGAAAAGAAAGAGAAATCCCTCGATTTCAACGTTCTACTACTCTTGTTTTCACTCTCAAGTCAGGATCAATCAACTCTTCATAAGTCTCTGTGCTGCTGTAAAAAACCAATTGTTTCTGCAATGGCTTCTACGATTACAACATACTCAATTCACTCTCCAATCAAAGCTTCTCGATTCTCTTCGCTCTACTTGTCCACTATCAGAATCTCCCCGAATAATGTTTTACTCAAAACTCTACCACAGTCATTTCTTGCCGCTAAGACCACGCGCTTTGTCTTCTCGCCGTTGCCGGCGAATTCGAAATCTCCGGTGGCAAAGACGTTGAGTTTCTCTGGTTGGACTCAACAAATTAGGCGAACAAGTTCCGTTGTTATTAAGGCTGCTGCTGAAGGGTTAGAGTTTCGAATTAAGTCGTTTTTAACATTTTTTTTATGTATATAGAAGTTGATTTTCTGTTTGGTTTCTGAGAAAATGATGGAAAGAGAAGGAGTAAATTTTTTTGAGTTAGTTGACCTTTTTTATTATTTTTTTTTTTGGAGAGAGATGAATTGTTTAAATGAGGAAGAGGGTAATTGAATTGGTGAAACTACCTGTGTCTCGTTGCTTAAATTATTTGGAAAATGACTTCAGTTTGCTTATTAATAACACTATTTATTTGTGTTTGCGAGTTTAGGCACGTGGAGCCTGCAAAAAGCTTTGGTGAAAGATTTCCTGCTTTAATTACAGGTTTCTTTTTCTTTACCTGGTAAGCAGCAGCAACAGCTATCACATTCATTACATTTATTGATTTATTTATGCAATGTCATATTGCTTCTTTTCCTGTATGATTTACACTCGCATAATTTACCGTTTGGATGCCAAAATTTTGATGTTCATTCTTTAATTACTGCTTCAAGCAGCATTTATGTAGCTCTTGAGAGAACTACTTTAGAAGCTGCTTATTATCCAGTCACGAACAACAGCGAGTTAATTTGGTTTTTTAGGGTATAAAGGTTGATTTGAGTTTTATGGTTTGTTTGCAGGTACTTCTTAAATATCATCTTCAATATACTCAACAAGAAGGTCTATAATTATTTCCCATATCCATAGTAGGTTCTCGTTACTTGCTAGATGATTTTGCTCTTTTTAAGTCATTCATGGATTTGTTTCGTATTGAATTCCACAATCAAAATCCATCTATATTACCCTTTTATTGTTTTAACCCTGGATCTTGACCTTGCTATTTGGTTTCACAATTGGAATAATTTTATCCTTTTTGCAGCTTTGTTTCTGTCGTACATCTACTGGTTGGAGTGGTATATTGTCTTGTTTCTTGGGGTGTTGGTCTACCCAAACGTGCAGTAAGTTAAAGTTTCTGCCTTAGCTAATCTTTGCTCCATGAGGTGCAGGAGGATTCTACTAATGACGAAGTTTTCTCTCCATCCAGCCAATTGATAAGGAGCTCCTGGCACTTTTGACTCCAGTTGCTTTCTGCCATGCACTTGGACATGTCATGTCCAATGTATCATTTGCTGCTGTTGCTGTCTCTTTCACACACACCATCAAAGGTATTCAATTTCAAAAGAAGCAGAAGCATCTTTTTTAAATTTATTCTAATGATATTTAGTATTTATCTGTTTGGACTCTAAATCCGCAAGTGAAAAAAAAAAAAAAAAAGCGCTCTTTCAGAATAACAGGTCTTTAGTTTTGATGGAAAATTTATGCTCATGCACATGCCTATACACATACATTTACATAAATAAGTATGAACTTTAGAATTCATCACTTAGCATTCTAAGATGTTTTTGAACCAGGGTTGTTAATATTATTTTTTTCTTCGTATCTGAAGTGGATTTCCAATTTTACAATATTTCTCCAATGCGGAAAGGAAGTGTTTGTTATCTTTATGGTGGAGAATGGATCATGAATACTCTTCAGATTGCATTTAGCATTTGTTTTTCTTAAAAATGCTTCGAAATTTGGTCATGGATAAGTTTTTTGTTGGTGGAAATTCAAACATTTACAAACTAATAATGCTACTGGCAAGGTTCCTGGTGATTTGAGTATGTTTCATTTATTTAGAACCCTGGCCATTCATCTATTTTTTATTTTACCTGTGATAATCTATATGTTTTTTTCATGCCTTCCTTTGATTAGTAGCTTGATATCTTAACAAGGTTGCGAGAGAATCAAAGCTTTAATGGCTTCTAGTTCCTAACTATTTCCCTATATTCCTCCACAGCTCTAGAGCCATTCTTCAGTGCTGCTGCTTCTCAATTTGTGCTGGGCCACCAGATTCCCTTGCCCCTGTGGTTATCATTGGCCCCAGTTGTTATTGGTAACTCATGTGCCTTGTGTCTTCTTCGTTCTGCATAGTCTCTCCTACAAACTATATCCTATTTCTCAAACCTGGACTATTAAAAAGTATATGGCATGTCTACCCGTTTCATAATCCTGATACAAATACATTATGAAATATGAAGGCCCCTTTTGATTTATTTACTGGGTTTGTGTGACTTCCATTTAGGTGTATCGATGGCATCGCTGACTGAACTTTCCTTTAACTGGACTGGGTTCATTAGTGCCATGATTTCAAATATAGCATTTACCTACAGAAGTATTTATTCAAAAAAAGCAATGGTAAGATTACTTAAGATGCCTGATCCTTTTTGCTGACTACAACTCATAGTTGCCAGGCTCAAATCTTCTGCTTATTTTTCTATTTTTTTTGCCCCAGTATATTGAGGTGGATTTTGTAATCTTTTGTAATGTTTTGGTCTCTTAAATGTCCCATGCTTATCCTCTCTCCAAGATATGATGCATCAATGGTTTTTTTCTTTTATTTGAAAAAGATCCTTAGGACTCGGATTTTAGGGAGTCAAATTCTATTTTAGTATTGCTGTGAAATTACCACAATAAACGTCTTTAACTATGATGAGATGTTAGAACTACCTTACTGATTTGAGTGAATTAATTTAGTTTCTTGATGTTATTATGATTTGAATAATATTTAGTTGAGTCCGCAGCTAGTTTTAGATGTAAAAAAAAACAACTGTGGTTTTTAGGAGTCCAATAAAACCCGATTTCCTTTTGATTTCAAAGTACAAAACACATTGATTCTATTCCCAGGGGAAGTCATAAACTGTAAAACATGCAGTTTAAGTTGAAACCAGTCATAAACCCAACAAATAAGGTGCATGGAGAATCTTGAATTAATAGATTGAAAGGTTTTTTCAACCGAGAGAAATTTTATAGCCTCTATGATAGTGTTCGTTTGAGAAATTCATCTTTAGACTATCAAGATGTGGAGCAGGATGTAAGTTGATGGAATGCATTTATAGTTCCACTGGATTTATCATATTTCCTGAACTACCATTCTAATTTTCATAGACTGGCATGGACAGCACAAATGTGTACGCTTACATTTCAATCATTGCTCTCTTGGTTTGCATTCCACCAGCAGTACTGGTAAGTATACTTGCGACATAGACCAGCTGCAATTTCGACATCTTCGTTGCATAACTGATTGCTGGTTTATTCTGAGTCTGCTTACAGATTGAAGGCCCTCAGTTGATGCAACATGGTTTCAGGGATGCAATTGCCAAAGTGGGATTAGTCAAATTTTTGTCTGACCTGTTTTGGATTGGGATGTTTTATCATCTGTACAACCAGGTATCTCAAATATATGACAATTTGGCTGCTCCTTCAAATAATTATATAATAAGGCTATGGTGTTTCATACATCCTGATGTCAACTTTCTTGTTTTCTTAACCTGCCTCACTCTGTTTCTACGACATGCTACCACTAAAACTGGGTAGTATATGGATTGTTTCTGTGTGTAATCTACTTTATGCTGTTTCTAATTACTTCAAAGTTGAGGTTAAGAAACTGCTACATCAGCTTAGAATTCCCTTATGTGAATTGCCCACTGATAAGCATAAGAAAAGGCTTTTTACTATCGCTAAAATATTCTATTGATTCACGACACCATTCTGTTGGCACCTGATCCAGACAATGCATCCAAATTATGCAGGTCATGCTTTCATTAAATCATAACCTCTTGCTTCGTCTTTGCCTCTTTTAATACTCCATAACATTATATTTGCCTTTTTCTGTTTTTGCACTGTTTCACCCGGTAACTTCAAGCTTTCAATTGCAGGTTGCCACAAACACTTTGGAAAGGGTTGCACCACTTACGCATGCTGTTGGAAATGTATTGAAGCGAGTTTTTGTAATTGGATTCTCCATTGTGGTATTCGGTAAGTACTCCTTTCTTGCATGAATTCAATGCTACAGATTGGTGGTCTAGATGAGATTAACCAATCACTGTCTTACTGAACTCTTGCTTGAATCAAAACCAGAGAATTCCCCCTTCCCCTACCCTTAAAAAAAAAAAAAAAGCAACAACAACTTGTATAGTACATGGTGCAGGATTCAGAGCACTTTTGATCAATAAGGACCGTGCTTTCTTATGCTGTAAACTTTTGCAGGCAATAAAATCTCCACTCAGACCGGAATTGGCACAGCAATAGCCATTGCAGGTGTTGCCATCTACTCGCTAATAAAGGCCAACATGGAAGAACAGAAGCGGGTAAGAATTTTAGGTTGTAATTAGTGGCGTACACTGGTGATACAAGTTAGGCTGAAGCATGCCTCCCAATCTACCGCACATAGCCCAGGACCATTATTCATTATTTGTGTGGTCAAAACACAGGCTCGGTGGTTTGTGTTGAATAGGCATTCATGAATGCCTTTCAAATATGTAGCATGACTAGAGATGTAGGGCAACTCTTATCTCAAGCTACTGCTACAGTGAGAATATGAGAAACTGGCGTTTTCTTTTTACTTAGATAAACAACATTCACCATTGCCTGAGCATGAGAACCAAATTAAGTTACTGCTTCTCTTTCTTTGTGGACGGGCACCATACTCATGAACTCTCTTCTTACCATTTTCAGAAGGCCGCTTAAATTCAAGCATCATAAGGAAATACTGTTGGACCAACTGAAAACGCAGCGCCCAGCCTGCGAAGAGGAGAATAAACTAAACCTTTGCGTGAATCCTCTTAGCCAAATTAGCGGATGCTGGATTTCAAAAGAATGAAAGGTTTTACATAGGATCTTTTGTAGCTTTTAGAAATTGGGCAAAGAATAAGATCAACTCTCATGCAAACTCAATGCTGATGTTTACCCTTTTCTGTATTTGATAATTTGGTACTATTGTCACAGAAAAGAATGCGAGTGAAGCTGAAAAAGTGGCATGGCCGAAGCTTTTTCGATTCAATTCCTTGTCTAGCCAATTAATCTTCAGGATCCACTCTCAAATCCATAATGCATACTGGAGTAACATAAAAGGAGCACAACTCTTTATTTGTATATATGTGTGTGTGTTTTGTCTTTAAGCATTTTTTGGAATTTCGGTAATCAAAATAAAGAGTCAACAAGGTACTATATATATATATATATGTCAAACGTTAGCAGTCATCAAATAATTATACGGATCCTTGTTGATATTCAATATCGTCATTATACACACAGCCACATATTAGCAGGACACTCTGAATAATTATTTTTGGGAGCTTTTAATAAGATAAATGTTATATGTGAATTTTGTATCGTGCCCAAAGATGGCAATGAACGGACATCCATTCATTAATTTAATTTTTTTACTTTATCTATAAAAAAATACCCGATTTATTATTCATTAACAAATCATCATATAAATATTTAATTAGCTCATATTTTACCTAAGTACATATTTAATACCTCATAAAAATAATTTATAAAAATATTCATTTAAATCTTTATAATTTTTAAGAAAAGTTTTTTTTATCTTTAAAATTTAATTATTGTTTTACATTTTGGTCATTTCTTTATAAGTTTTTTCGCCTTTCAATTTTTTTAAAAAATATTTTGATCTTTTTTTAAAGTTTATGCAATTAGATACCTTCATGCTATTAAAAAATCAAAATAAATTAATGAGTATTCATAAAATAAAAAGTGAATACTCATGTACTAAAACCATATTAATAAGTATGTATTTCTTTTATCATTATCCACTTTAATATCCATTAAATATTTTTAATAAATATTTATTATGACATATAAAATAAATACCCTATTTATACCCAGTCATTGACGTCCTAACTGGGCGGTAACCACTACAAATGTCGAAAGATGCATTATTTCTATAGTCCCAAGTTTCACGTAAAGCATTTGAAATTTATTTATATAATTTAAAAATCAAAGGCAATGATTTAATCATAATTTTATCAAAATTGATACGAAATCAATTAAATTTAAATTACGTAAAAGCTTAATTCAATAAAAGTAAACAAATTTGTTCATTTTTAAATTATTTTAAAGATAAATAATTAAATAACAAATGTGCAGAACACGTGCTAAAAAGACAAGTATAATTTTAAAAAAAGAAATACCACATTAATCAAAGAAATTGAGGCAGTTGCACATGGGCTGCACAAATATGAGCTTGTAACGCACGACTCTTTGGACTACCGTTATGGTGGACTGAAACAGTTAAGTGGGCTGAAAATGCAAACCCATCACCATTAATATCGATTTCCGCAGGAAGACCTCAGTGCATATCATAATTTCTCTTTACCTTGATAAACAAAATTCAGTTTCTTCGCAGGCCGATGATCACCCAAAACTTTTATTAAGTGCAACAACGAAAAGTCTCCTGTTCTGCATATGAATTTTAGGAAAGCTGCACTCTGCACACATGATCACAACAGTAGATTCTATCTCCGAAAAAATAACTGCATTGCACAAATTACTGCTTGAAGACAAAACTAATTTAAGTACAGATTTACAGACATAAAGACAAGCATCTCACCATGGGAGGGGATCTAAGCCATTGCAGAATTTCTATCCTAAATAAATAATCAAGATTTTCCTACATTTTATTCGTCGTCAACATTCAAAATCTTTGGTCAACATTTCGCTGCCTCTATAGATTTTCTCAGCAGGAAAAAAAAAAAAAAAGGTGAAAGAAGCGCATGGCTTTAGTGGGTATAATAATCAGATCAATCCTGATCCTTATATCGCTCCTGCCAAAGTCACAGTCCAGTACAATTAAATAATGTACGGACAGGAATGGATTTCAGTGAACAGAAGCTGGGGAACATACAAACTGCCCACAATGAGATTGCCAAGAACAAATGATAACCAAACCTGAAAGAAGATAAAGAAAGATCAGAAACTCAGGTTGATGCAAGATAACCCAAATCAAGTTAGAAAAAATGCGAATTGCATAATCAATATTACCAAAAAATGCAGTGGTTTCTTTCTATTCGTCTTTTATAGTCAGATCGTGTTACTTGTGGAAAGCAAATACACAGAGCTAATTTGAAATGACAAAAAAGAAAAAGAAGAGTGTTGGAGCTCCTGAAACAGAAAGAAAATTACCAGTTCCATTTTTTTTATATTTCGCCACATTCCGCTGATGGTTGCACAAGTTTCTTTTCAACAAGAAACAATATTTGAAGTGTCACTTAACTTAGCTAGTAGGGTTTGTCCCCAGACACATGGCCCATGTATCAAACTTCAAACACAGCCTCCACCAAGGTCTAAGGAACGTTTAAGCAACAAGGGAGAGTAGATTAAAAAGTTCATTACTAGAGACAACTACCATAGGACAAGGATGCTCAAATGAACATTACTTTTTTTTATGGACAAAGTGACTCTTTAATGCCAAGTAACTTGGAAAAAATTGGAATATTTAAGCAATGAGGGAGAGTAGATTAAAAAGTTCATTTATTAGAGAAAAAAACTACCATGGGGCAAGGAAGCTCAAATGACCATTACTTTTTTGATGGAGAAAGTGACTTTTTAATGCCAAGTAACTTGAAAAAAAGTTATGAATATTTATCTGTTCTTGATAGACATATAGCAAAAAAATAAAAATAAAAAACCATTACATTCTGGACTATAGTTGTTACTTTGTGCATAAAATTCATTCATTATATTAACGAAGTAAATGTTAAAATATTGACTAATTTCCGTCAAAGAAAATAAGGCAAATCACATGCAGTGCATGTATTAAAGTCAAAGCAAAACATTACCCTATTTGAGACCATCAAGTACACCAGCCAAGGGCAATTTTCTCATGATTTTGTTAGAAAAAACATTCAACTCATCAAAACTTACCAATCAAGGAAAATCAGTGCTGTAATCCAAATTGAACAACATGTCCCTGCGATTTTCAGAGCCCATTTGATAGCCAAACTTCCTAGCCCAGGATTTCACTTGATCATCACTCTCAAATTCTAGTTCTCGCATGCAGCGCCTTCTGACCTTCTTTAGTATTTCCTTGGAAGGGGCAAATCCAGCAGAAACCTGTCCAACAGGTTCATTGTGTTTGCATTAGTTTCTCTAGAGATGCAAAAACTCATAATAGAAACGAAGGACACCTCAAGAAGCACACCCATGAGGAAAAAGATGAATTACCATCTTGTCAATCACCGACACAGCAGCTTTTGCATCTCGGTTGATGAGATGAGCATCAACAAGCAATGAATATGACATTGCATTGGGTTTAATGCCCATGCTCGCTAAGTGCTCGAACACATTTGAAGCTTCAAATGTCTGCTACAAGAAAAGAATAAATTTTTCCATGAAATAGATCATGACTATCAAACAAGCAGTTGATAGGATTCTATACATTTCGTTATTTTAATGTGTGCATGAACGAGCATAAAATGGTACATATGCCAAAGAAATCGTCAATTAGGTAGTCTTTATGCAGCACTTTTGAAAACAAATGGGAAAATTCATCGAATGCATACAGTCCACCCACCCACATAAATATGAGATTCATCAAGGGGCAGATTACTGCATTCAGTATCACAATGCCCCTTTTACACTGAGCAGAAAACAAAATGGTATTGACGCATTGCTGAATTGCATGTGTATGTATATACACCTGAGACAGAGGCATAAAAAGATTTACCTTCTTGAGCCTTCCAAATGCAAAAATTAGAGCATTGTATGAATGAACATTAGCAGTCAGCCCAAAAGAAGAACTAATTGCTTCAAAAGTTTGGTAGGCACGGTCAAGGTCCCATATATTTGCACAACCTAAAATTACACAATTAAGAGCAGCCACAGACTTGTATGGAGATTCTGCAAGACTCAAACTCTCCAGCTGAAAATATACCTGAGAGATATTAAAACATTACAAATCAGTGATGTAGAGTGGGAGGAGAAAACCAACACCAACAGCAAAAAACAGTTTGGCTAAAACTTGAATAAAATTGAAGATGAGAAGAGAAATAGGTTTAGGGTTTGCAGAGAAGCCTCAAAAGCCCAAATTGATTGATAGAAAATAAGCCATCTTTTCTGAACTAGCCTAGGCAGCCATTTGTGCTAGTTAAAAGCCAAAAATCTATACTTGTAGAAAACAATATCTCTATTAAAAGTCACATGCTAATCCCATGACAACTAAATTATCCAAACAATGTAACAGGTTCCTAAAGTACATAAGAAAACTATACGGGAAGAGTGACTAGTTATTTTGACAGGGTTTGAACTTGCATGTTTTGCTAGAAAGTTAACAAATGATATATGAATGCTGATTATCAACTTCTGAATATAAAGAAATACCGAATCCAAAGTCTCAAAGCCCTTCTTGGAGCAAGCCAGAACTAGCGGCTTCAAAGAAGAGAATGGTGAAAACAATTCTTCTTCTGCTTCCTTATCAGAACTCCCGTGCCACGACTCCATTTCACGCAGAGCAGCAAAAGCCTTCTGCAGATTCCCCAATGATGCATGAGCATATATCTTCCCGACATATGATTCTGGGTTAGGAGCCTTCTTCTGACGTAAAGAGTGGCGAAGGATTGCCCATGATGCATCCAGGAGAGTAGAATTGTAGGTCCTGGCAGCAGTTCCAAGTGCTGCCACGATCAATCCTTCATCCACAGAAAGTAGAACGGTAGGCCTTGCCTTCTCTCCTCGAGAAATCCATCTAGCCATAAACTCCAGGGCACAAAATAATAACTTGCTTTTATCCTCTTTTAATGCAAGTTCAGCAATATAGTTGCAAAGGTTCCAATTCGGACAGAGAGCTTTGTTCTGATCCATTTTCTGATAACACCATGCACGAACAAAATCAGATCAAGAACAGGCACACATAAAAAGGGGGGCCTATGCAAAAAGTATTAGGCAAATAATCAAATTACCTTACACTTCTCAATGATGGATAGCAGCACATCCAGTCTGCCATAGTTACAGCAGTTTCTAACACATTCATCAAATACTTTCATCGACAACACATAATCACGTTTTAGAATCGTATCTATATATTTCAAGGCAGTGTCAAATCCATCAATGTTGCCTTTATTACAAAGCATGGTAACAACCAGGTCATAGGATTCCTCATCAGGTTGCGATTCTTTTCCTGTCTGCTCCATCCTGAAACATCAAACTATATTTCAACACAAATCCTACATGTATGCAGCTGAGAAATCATTTCACTCACATGCATATGGGTCCACAAGGTAGTTACCACAAAAGGTACCCGCATGAATGTGGGAGAGGATGAACAAACACTGTGAATGCTATGAAATTACTTTCGAGTCTCTGACAACGTGACCAACGGCATATAAGTGTTAGGGATTAAAAAATAAGCTGCATTTTTCACACAAACATCACGCAAATATGCAATAATGTATGTAAAAGATTACCAATTCCGAAACCAATAAGAAGCAAAAATAAAAATATAACATGAAGGCATAAAGTTCCAAACTTCAACTTCACACATACAAAACATTCTCCTGAATAACACACATGCATCTCAATTTTTCCGTAGAGTCAAATAAACAATTCCAAAATTTGCTCACCGTTGAAGCAACTTCTCAGCAGCCTCAGTCTCTCGACCTTCGTACATAGCCTTAAGAACAAAATTGAAGGAAACAGTATTGGGCGAAATATTAAAATCCTCCATTTGAGCAACCAGGTCAAGCAAATAACGAGCACTAGCTTTCATCATTAAATTAGCCCTTAAATAATAATTATACAAGCTAACATCGGGTTTATTAGGCTTCCCGTTTCTATCAAGTGACTTGATCCACGCCTCAAAATACCCCTTGATATCTTCCCATCTCTGAGACGTCGTCCAATCAGCAAACATATTTGACAGAGAATTCAAGTCCATGTTTTGAGGCATTGATTCGATTCTAGAGGTCTGGTTATGGAAGATACCAAAAGGGATTAGAGTGGAATTAGGATTTTGGTGGATTGGGTTTCGCCAGTTTGTCTCATTGTAGAGTGGGCTGCCGGAGGCTGGATTTGGAGGGAAAGGAGTTGAATTAGGGTTAGGGGTTGGGGGATCGGTGGAGAGTTGGGGTTCTTGAGAGAGGTGAGTGAAGGTGGATATTGATTTGATTTGGGGGTTTAGGGTTTTCCTTAGGATTTTTGTTGTTCTTGTTAGAATTGCCATTCGGGAAGCCATTGATGGCTAGTGGGATCAGTGAGGAGTAGGAAAGTGAAGTTCTTTTTTTGTGGTTAGGGTTTTGCAGTTTTTGGAGTTAGTGAATAGTGATTGATGGGGGTGGCATGTTTTGATATTATCTGGAAACGAAGGGGTGCTCGTTTGGTTAGTAATAGTATATTCATGGGTTTAGGGTTTATGGATTGTTGAGCTGGACTCTTCTTGGACCCTTAAACCCTTTGTTAGGCCTTGTTATGTCAACTGTAGTTTGCTTCATTCCTTTTGGGTGAAAATTATTTGGGCCAGGTCTAGACAAAATGTCTTGGCCCGAAATATTAACGACTCGATCTGTACTAAAGGTTCGAGCCCCTGATATAATTTCATGCTTGGCATTGCTGTGATTTTAAATTACAAGCTGCTTTTGGCTTAAAAACAGGATGCCTCGTGTATTTAATTAAAAACACAGCTGTTTGTTGTGGGATTCGTTCTTTTTAATTAAAATATAAAATTTTTCATCATTATTTTTTAAAAATCACGTTAGCATTTTTTTATGTATATATAATTGATTTTATTGAAATGAAGTGTTTATATATACAATCATTCTATTTAATTTAAATTCTTTTTAATTGTTTGAACTTGCGAATTATTTTCATAAAAAAATAGTTTAAAATATTACAAATCATTTAATATAAATGAAATATATTTGTGAGAATATGTTTAGCATGTTACAACACTAATTGTTCATTTTAGTAATAAGTTACCAAACACTGCCGAATAGTACAACACAACACAGCACATCACCTGTTGTGCAACATATGCCCTAAATAAAGTCTTTCTTTTTCTTGGATAATCATGCTTCTCCTTTTTTCCCCTTATAATAATGTGATATTTTTGAATTTGTTTTAAAATATTGAAATCAGTATTAAATTCATGGAATTGGGTCAGGCAAATGCGCGCATGCTATTTATATCAAAATTATAAAACTCACATGAATTTTAGTTTTAGTAGTCAGCTTCAGGATTGAACCATAGTAGCTAAAAATGATATAAAAGAATAAATTTTACAGACATAAACTATATTTGTGTATTGTAGAGTAACTACTAAAAATGATAGTTTCTAGCTTAAGATAACTTTTAGCCTATCCCACTAATAAGTTCAAAATCTACTCTCGTTATACAAAAACCATCACATAGTTACAACTATTGCAGTTATATACAACGTGTTATTCACCTATATTTGTTCAGCTATATGTATTGTCTCAACATCTCCCCTCAAACGAAGAATGCCTTTGGAAGAAGCAAGAGTTTGGCTCTTATAAATTCAAACCTATCCTTAATGGCTCCGTAAAAGCATCTACTAATTAATCGTTAGAAAAAACAAACTTATCTATGTAAAATTTTGTTTATGAATCAAATCCCTTACAAAAAGAAATTTCAATATATTTTGTAGAGACGAGAAAACATTAGATTACTAAAAAGATAAGTGACACCAACATTATCACGTAATAAAATTAGAGATAGAATGGATTGAAATGTCTAACTCCTATAACGAAGACCGTAACCAAACTATCTTAATAGTGGTATTTGCTAGAGCTTTATGCTTAAATTCGGTTGACGAACAAGCAATCATGGATTGCTTTCTCTCATACCACGATACTAAATTATTATCTAAGTAAATAATAAATCCATTTCTAGATTTTCGATCATCTGGACATTCGATCCAGTTAGTATTAGAGAAAACTTAAATATGAGTGGAAGAATTTAGAGAGAATTGTAAACCACCATAAAAATTGTGCTTAGCATCGCATAATAAATGTTTCATCGCTTTCCAATTAATATCTATTGATGCTTAAAGGAACCGACATAGTTTATTGACTAGAGAAGCAATTTATGGTCTAATTGAAGTTGCATACTCGTAAAGCACACACAATGGTTGTCTATTCATGAGGATCCTTTAGAAACAAACCTTGTTCCTTAGAAAATAGAGAATAAGAAATCATTTGAGTTGGCATAGAACTGCAATCTATCATGTTAATCGAAGATAAAAATTATGTCAAGTGTCTTTGTTGAGAAAAAAGACACCTTGGAGGTGTGATACAATTCTATACTAAGAAAACAATGAAAATAGCCTAACTAAGTCCCTCATAACAAACTCTTTTCTAATAGCTCGAATCGTATTAGTGACTACTTCGTTGATTATTGCTTGTACTTAAGATATCATCAACATAGATCTATATATAAGTCCTTATAGCTTTATACTAATAAATGAACAAAGATGTATCAATCTTGAAATCAAAAAAACCAAAACTATCTAAAAATTAAGATAGTCATTGGAACCAAGCTTGTGGAGCTTATCTAATCCATAAAAATAATTATGTAATTTGCATATAAAATTAGATCGTCAATGATCCCCAAAGCCTTTAGGTTGTGTCATATACATATCTTCACTAATCATGCCATTCAAAAAGACATTATAGACATCTAATTTTGCAAACATTAGCCATAAGAGAGACTAAAATCAAGAGCAAGAATACTTTGTACGATTGTAGATATAATAATTGGATTAAATGTCTTAGTAAAATCAATTCCATATTGTTGCACGAAACTCTTCGCCACTAATCTTACTTTGTATCTTTTTACACTACCATTTGTAAGTCTTTTTATGCCATATACCCACCAATTACCAATCACACTAGATGTTAGAAGTTTTGGCACCAAATACCACGTCTTGTTAGCGATCGGTGCTTGGTATTTGTTCTTTATTGTCTAGTGCCATACCTGGACTTTTACTAGCCCGATTAAAAGTTTAAAGCTTACGAGAGCTAGGTTGTTCTTCCTTTGCTACATGAGCAAAGGATTTTTTGGTCATTTTACTAGGTCCGAGAGTCATGGAATGCACCCTTCGCACCGTATTTATTGGAGAATGAGAAGATGATTCTATTGCAATACCGTATTGACCAATCAAGATCAACAAGTAATTGAAAACCATTAAAATAATTCACATATGTGATTCAAGAACTTATTGTAGGACTTTTTGTGGGCGGTAGGTCGTTAGTTTATGGAGTATAGGGGAGGGAGTAGGAGAAGAAAATAGTGGTTCAATGTTTGTGTTTGTTAATTCTTCATATGATTACGAAGTTATGATTGTAATGAAAGATCGTTACAAGGCATACGGATAAACATCATTAGTAATAAGAGAGGGCATTATGAGCCAAGATTGAGTTACCGAAGTCTTTGATTACCGTCAAGATGATGAAGTCTCTTCTCAAAAGGAAACAAATTTTCAATGAACTCGATATGCCTAGCTATAGCTATGTAAAATCTTTTGGTGTTTGGATCGAACACATATAACTAAGGTGATTATTTGAATAACCCATAAAAATAAATGGTTTGCTTTTAAATGAGAATTTACGATTGTTGTAAGGATTAAAGGTTGTAGATCTAATAGTTTTAAGAAATAAGTAATCTGGTTTTGTATTAAACATAATTTCAAAAGGAAATTTGTGATTCAAACTTAGAGAAGGTAACTCGTTGATCAAATTAATAACAAACAATTTCAAAAGTCAAATTCCAAAATTTAAAGTGAGTAAAACAATGACCTAAGAGTGTTAAAAGTGTTAAGCCACTATCAACAAGATATCTTATTTTTTGTTCGAAGCACCAATTCGGGCATGGGTGCACAAACAATTATATAGTGATTTCTAGTTTTTTATAAAAATGATTTATAAGTGACTTGAATTCACCATTCCAATCATACTAAAAAATCTTGATTGTGGAATTGAATTCGTCGCTCAATAAGAGTTTGAAATTGTAAGAAAATAAAAAAGACATCACTTTTACACTTAATACGATATAACCATGTATACTTAGAGTAGTCATCCACAAAAATAACAAAATAACAATGACCATTAATTAAAAGAAGACATAAGACCGGGACCCCATACATCCGACTTTATCAATTCTAATGGAAAAGCACTAAATTTATTTGTTCTTCAAAGAGGAATTTTAGAAGACTTTATTTAAAAGACAAGAAGTGTATTTAGTATCTAAAAAATAAGATAAATTCAAAAACTTAACAATATTGCTAACAATTTTGAAATTGGAATGTCCTATAGTCTTGCATGTTAGTCATTAATGGATAGCTATAACCTAACTAAAACTTGTGGTAATGGCTTCAAAATACCATGGAACTTCTAGATACCATCCTCGCCTATTCCTTGAAGTAGGAGAGCCTTATTATTTTGATCCTTCACAAGAAAATAAAAAGGATGAAACTAAAAAAAAAAACAATTGTTATCAAGAGCAAATTTTTGAATAGATAAAAGCGATCAAGTAATATAGAAAACATATAATACATTGTGGAGTTTAAAGTGTTTATTTTAAGAGAAAAGATTAGATGAATCGAGTATATGTGTGTAATATGTAAACCGAAAACCATTCCTAACAATCAACTTATTTAAACCTTTATAATCGTCTATGAGATTGAGGTTGCTTAAGTTTGGTGTGTTGTGATTGGTCTAAATGTCGTGTTGCATGAGGATAATGAGGAAAATAGGCACTAGATTAACTTTTAAGGTCGAATAATATGTAGAAGGTGGAGTAGGCAATAAAGGAGCTAGTTGAGTTATATGAGGAATGCCCAAAACACCTACCTTGTCTAGACGGTTCATACCTTTTGTTGTACTTGCCGACAAAATGTTTGTGCCAACCACAAATCCGACATCGTCCTCTCCTCTTACTAAACAAGTTGTTACCTAAAAAATTATTATTTCTATCGCTTTGATAACCATCATAATAATTCCCACCAGATTGGTTTAGACACAAAATGTTAGCACTATAGTAATTTTTGAGAGCATAAGAAGATTGAGGCTTTGAAAAAGACACCAATTGGTGTGATTTCTAGGCCACATTTACGGTTAGAGTATCTATGTTGCGAGAGCTATTGTGCAAGATTCATATGCCAACATGTGGCCATGAAGTTCATAAAAATATGTTTGTTTGCCTTAAACGAAAGTGTTGCAACGATACTATGACAATCGATCCTTAAAGTCCTATGAAATTAAATTCGAGTTAGAAAGAGATTGCTCGAGATTTCTAATTCACCGACCAAATATTTGACTTTTTTGTAAAAACTAAACAATTGTTTTATCCTCGAGAGTTAATTACTGGAGTTGGATATGGAATTGCAATTGTCTTTGTTTAGAAACAAAGCCAAAAACCTTCTCTAGAGCTTGTCAAACCCGATAAGAACTTTCTAAGCCAACAACATATGTGAACACTCGCTTTATTAATAACCAAGACACTAAGGTCTGCTCTTTTTAAAACCAATCAAGCATAAGTATGATTAGGTTTTAAGAGAGAAGTTATGGAGTTCGGAATTTCTAGAGGAGGGGTAGATTATCATTTGTGAACCTTGTAAGCTTGTAATAATATATTAAGGATTGATTCAAATTGAGTTTTTCACATAATAAAGTTTTTGGATGTGAGTTTAACCGCAAAAGAGTAACTTGGTTGAGTGTTAGAGAAGTTTGGGGAATAGTAGCTATAGCTATTGGAGTAATAGCAAAAGAAGAAGAAGTATTGGTAGAAACCATTGTAAGCTTTGATACCATGTAACGGCTATAAAAGAAGTTCTACATGTATAAAAATTTATAGAATAACTACAAGAAAGAATAGCTTCTTTGTTAAAATAATTTGTAGCCTATTCCATGATAAGTTCAATTTCTACTTTAGTTATAGAAAGACTATGACATAATTACAACAACTATCAAAGTTATACACAAACTATTGTTTACATATATATCTACTCAGTTATATGTACTGTCCTACAGTAGCCAAGGGAAAAGCACAACCCTTTAAGTATTAGGACGAACCACCCAGATTTTGGTAATTAATTATGTGGCTGGCTTTTGGTATATGAGAATTGAAAATTACCACTAATTTGTTCGGATGCATGTGGTGATGGTGATCATATTGATATTAGTAGTTAGTGTATCAAATTAGGATCCTTTTACACTGACCAGAATATCCATTTTGGAATATTTAGAGGATACAAAATTCGAGTTGCTCTCTTTTGATCTACGTCCTATCAGCAAAATCCCCAAAGGTTGTAATCACTACCCATAATTAGGCTAAATGGGCCACCTTCATGTTGCAGGGCTGGGGGCCCATTTCCATCAATGAGGTTCCTCCTCCAATGATGGCTGACGAGAGCCTGTCCATAAAGATCAAAATGGGAGCTCTCGCACCTCCCTCGTCCAGGCTAGCAAAAGGTATGATTCTGCTGCCCAAAAGAATACCTATGCGTGGAGGAGGCATCTGCATTTGTGGCTGTGGTCCAATTATTCTCTTTTTGGCCTACTGATCGACGAGAAATTTCAAAAACCCAATCAAACACTTTAGAGACTGATCACCTAAAGTGATCTAAAAGCATCTCCTAAAGTGATATAAAAGCAACTATAGAATTTCAAAGAATACTTCCATGTGTTATTCCATTGGTTCTACCTAACCTTTGATTGTTTGCTTGACCCCATACATAACTAAAAAGGCACCATATTTCTTATCCTTTTAATTATTCATATACAACCTGTTATGTGTTGTTTTTAATAATGCACTCATACTCCTATGATTAGCAGTATTTTATTTGTTTAAAGGCTGTTGGTCTGCCTTTAACCTTTTAGTAGCCTATCAATGACGTAGATTCTGTTTAATAATTTGAATGGATTGTTCAGGTTTTTTTTCCCCCTTGTTTTGCTGTAGTATACTTTTATTGTTGTAATATAACATTATAAATTAGCCTAATCACTGTTTTAATAATTTCTGTCGCTTCTTTTTTTTTATACGACTCTGCCGTTCTATAAATTCCTCATAAATGGTACATGAGATGATTTTGGCAAGGTGTGTGGTTTTGTAATTTGTACTCTGTTTACCGTTGAAATGGAATCCATTTTTCATTCTTCTTTAATCACTGCGATGGTACAGATTTGATTTTAAACCTAACAAAAGCCTAGAAAGAAACACATGCGTGGTACCAAATAGGCAAATATGGTATCACGTACTTATTGATTAATAATAATACTGATAGAGATGGACGTATAACGACTAATTGCACGAAAATGAGGATGCCATGGAGGCGAGCACTTAAACATTTAATCAGAAAGTACCCAGCACTTGTCAGACACCATGTGTGCTCTGCTCTCCCTCAGCCTTGTAAGTTTCTGGGCTACCCCTTGGCCCAACGGCAAAAGCTAATAGACCAATATTAGTTAGAGTTACCAGTGCTCTCTGGGTTGTTCTTGTAGCCTTTTTCTTTGTCGTTATGTTGTAGAAGCGAGGAGTGTACCTGTCTGGTTGTGTTAGCTCTCCTGCTCGGCCTCGTGGGTGGCGGTGATTTTTCTTACATCTGTTGGTGAATTAGAGCACGTTAAATGCTCCCCAAAAAGCCAAAGCTTGAGCAATTATTAGCGTACATGCTGACACATAATCAAATTAGAATATAATTTGATTTTGCTTTTGAAGGTTGGATACGTAAGTTTTGATTGACTAACCAGATAGGCTGGAAGGGTTACTTGCGGACGCTATGAGATGGTAAAAATCAATGGATTTTCTGGTCCTGCTATAATTGAATTCAACTGTACATGAAGCTAGGTAGTTTTAATATGTCTACTGTTGATAAAAATGTTGTTCTTTTTTTTTCAAAGATAAAAAATTTCCAATGCTTTAAGAGTATCCATAGTTTCAACTCCATTCATTTAAATTGAACTACATTTACATATATTAATTGACAATTATATTAAAATTAAAATTATTTAGAAAAATACAAAATATGAAATTGGAAACGAAAATCCTGTTGACTTTAATATCGTATATCATTTAATATATGTGATTTAATTTAAATAAATGAAGTATGAGAGTAGTATTTTTGGAATACTGGAGTTTTTTTTCCAATGATAAAATGTCATGCAAAGACAAAGCTAAAAGAAAAAAAATTACAAACTATACTTTTTTTACGTGGCAAATATCAAATTACTAATAAACTAAAAGACATGGGTTTTTTCAACAGTAAATTACTGTTTATATTCACTTTTTTTTGGGTTCGGATACAAGTATGAAAGAGAAGTATAAAGGAATATTTATTTAATATATCCAGAGTTATATTTTCATCTGTCATTGTAATATATAAATCCAGAGTTAAATTTCATCTTTCATATAAAAAGGAGACTTCTTCATAGAATTTTTTTTTTAATGAGAGAAGAGAGTAGAATTATAAGCGTCTTAAATAATTTTTCAAGATAGAATTTTCTTAAAAAAAAATTTGTGAGAAGAGATATTTTAGAAAACAGGGGAAGACGATTGGAATTAACACTCCAATAAAGGATAGAATCAAATAATCCTAAATTTACTACAGTTAAGTATTAAATTTTTATTTTTTTTGTAATACTGAAAATAAGCTATTTGTGGACGTAAATAATTCAATTTTTAGAATCAACTCAAAATTAGACATAATTCCATGCTATTTAGTTGACAAAAATAAGAATTTAATCTCAATTAAAATAAAAATTAATCAAAAAAATATCCTGCCATCAACCTATCAAAACCATGGATTAATCAATTTTTCATTTAATTTAGAGGAATCAATATATATATGTGGATTGGGTTTTTGTTTGACGTCTCTGTTACTTGAATATATATAGAACATATGGGGTGAGCTCTTGCATATCACTAAATTATTTGGGTATTGTCAACTATGCATTCAAACTATTTTTTGTATCAATTTTATTATTATATTATTTTAATTTCTCAATTAAAGATTTTTATTAGAATCAATTAGCAAAAAACGTTAAGTCACTACAAAAATGACGTGGTTATTTACAAGGAAAGTACAATTTGGAAGAACCATGAACAAAAAATTTTAAAATAGATGCAAAATTTTAATTAAAAATTTATAAATTTTTAAGGATAAAATTGATAGTACAAATTATTTGGTGGTGAGATAAAGACTATCCATATAATTGTATAGTTGGGTGGTGTTTTTGAGGTTTGTCTCTCTCTTTTTTTTTAGGTAGTAATACATGCTTTTGTGAGTAAATTAAAAATTAATCTTTTTAGTTTTGAAAAAAGAATTAATTATTTCTTTTTGTTTTAAAAAATAATTATTTAATATTTTAATTAGTGTTGACTTTGCTTAATTTAATATTATTTATTTTTCAAAAATGTTTTTTTTGGCTCATTGATCTTTTCATAATATTCATTTACTTTTTTTTTCAATTTTTTTCAAATAAAAAATAATTTAAAAAAACATAAATTAGAAAAAAATAAGTAACTAATTAGTTTTTAAAACACATTAAAAATAATAATAATTTGTTTCTCCAATCTAAAAAGAATAATTTATAATTTACTCATGGTTTTCTATATTTGAATTGACAGTAGAAGAATAAACAAAGAAGAGAATTTTTAGGGAAAAAAATCCAGAGTTATTTGAAGATACCATTGCAATAATACCTCTCTGGATGATGATAAAAGAAAACAGTACCTTCATTATCGGGAGTGATAACTAGTGCTTGTTACAGTGTAAATATTATGTTTTTATTTCTTGAATATGATAAGTGTTTTTCTTTATTGGAATGGTACTATAGATTTGATCTCCAGTTTCTTAACAGTATAAAAATTCACCATCTGCTTGCTAACAGGAGCAGAGTCGCAACTTGCCTGCAAGGCTAAAAGTACAAAGCGTGAATGTTACACGGTCTACGTTTTGACGTGCATCACGTAATTTGAAAAAGAAAAAGCGTAGTTCAACTCAAGATCAGGCATTGGAATTGGATCGTTGGATAGAATATATACCGTATATCAGTGAGCGTTCTGCCTTTTCTTTTCGTCTTTTATTTATTTATTTATTTATTTATCAATGCCTTTTCTTTTCTTCTTGGGTTCGTGAAAAGAAAACTCTTTTTTACATGGTACGTTTGGCAACAGAGAGCAAGCGATAGCGAAATACAGGAGTACCTGTAACTACTAGCAGCGAAACACATATCACTTTTAATGATTCACCAAAATGAGATGCTGATAACTCCAAACAAAAAAAGAAAAAGAAGGGACACCACCCGGTGACAGCACAAAGAGAATAACATAACCAAGAACATACATGTAGGACCCCCTCAACCCAGGACAACCAACCCAAACCAGGTTGAGTTCTGTGCTGGTTAAGTTTTAATCATGCACATGAGTTTATAACCGTTGTGAAACGAAAGATAGTATCACTTAACAGTCGCTTAGGTGACAAATACTCTTGCTTGCTCACTTCCCTACAAAGACCCTTCTATTAGTATTAAAAATTTTAAACAGCCGTGTCATAATACGAAAGTGAGGAGAAAAAAATTATATATATATATATATATATATTTATTTATATATAAAAGTTAACCAGATACAGACAACCTCCACTACCCACCGTCATTCCTCGTTTTATTGTCTAGAAAACTCCATTCTCTATTCCCAAACACTACTCTCTACTCACTCTCCTCTTCTCTCTCTTTTTCTCTCTCTTCTAGCTCACTCACAAAGCTATTTTCATCTTTCGAGTTCTATCTTCCGGCTAATTCTCATCTTTTAACTCTCAAACTCACATCGATCATGGCTGTTTTAGTGTTTTTATTGCTTTTCCTTGCCCTCGTTGGCCATTCGTGTAAGTTAATTGGATTTTTGTGTTCTTGCTTTGCTTCTTTTCCAACCTTGGATGGAAAACTTTTCAAGGGCTCATAAATGGAATGCTCTTTTTTTAAGATGGGGTCTTTTTAATTTTTATTTTAAAGTGATCTCCTATCTTGTTTTCTTGGTTATTCTACTAGAATGATTCATCTGATATTAAAGAGTTTTTCTATTTTCTCCTTCCTAGATTTTCCTTTATTTTTTATTTTTTTCCTCCTAAGGGAAATTTAGCATAAATCTATGATCATCTGTATACTAGTGATCACCTGTCTTTCTTTTAGTTTGTTGATTTATTTTGGAGTTCGTTTTTAATTTCTAGTTGTATTCAGAAGAAAAAGATGTGGTTTTGTGTGAACTAACTGTTCAGTTTGTTGGTTTTTCATTTTCTGTTGTAGGTGCTACTTACTGCATATGCAAGGATGGGGTTGGTGACGCCCAGCTACAAAAATCCCTGGATTATGCTTGTGGAGCCGGAGCTGATTGTAGCCAAATCCTTCAAAGTGGTCCTTGTTTCCAGCCCAACACTATAAAAGATCACTGCAGCTATGCTGTTAACAGCTACTTCCAGAAGAAGGGTCAAGCTGCTGGGAGCTGTGATTTTTCAGGAACTGCTGTAACTAGTGCCACTCCCCCTCAAAGTAAGTCAAGTTCCGCAATCCACCCATTCTTTATCGAATTATCTTTTGGGGTACTAACTCTCTCCTTGTTTTGTATGTTTAACATGCAGCTGTAGCCTCTGGGTGTACATATCCTTCATCTGCAACTCCAAGGTATTTTTTTTCCCCTTTTCAGAAGAGAAGTTGTTAGTTTTGACATCCTGTGTTGGTGATATTTTTGGCATCATATTTTCATCTTTCCAGATTTATTGCTATTGTGTTTCAATGAAGTTTTCACTGTGTGTGGAGTGTAATCTGGCTTTAAGCTTTGGATGCTTTTTTTCCCTCCTTCAGAGAACATTGTAATTATTTTACCGAGGTTAATTTTTTCTTGCGACTAGGAATCTATAAGGTGATGAAATACTCTGTTGCTGTTACTCATGGATCTAACTTCCCGCTCCCTCTTTCTCTCTGCACTTAGTGTGTCAAACTTGTACGATCTGGTAGATTTGAACTGGGTTTTCTTGCCTAAGCAGTATCAGAAAAATATTGTTTCTTTTAATGTTTGCCTTTAGAGAATTTTTTGGACAGTGGTTAAGAAAAGTAGATCTATCATTCACGCTTTCGTATCTTGCACTGACATGTCTTTATAGGTCAGAGGCCTGCATCTTCCTTACGGCTTGAGCTGTCATGACGTTGATATTTCATTAGTTATTTGTCTTCTTCCTTACCCGGGATTTTGATTCTGCATCTCTCAGCTTAACATGTGTTTTTCCACATTGTTAAAAGTGCAGATGATGCAACATTTGTGCATGTTATTATATTTTTGCAAGTTTGCTATCTCCATTTGCTCTCATTGCTTTCTGGTTTTCTCCATTGGTTATTAGCAGCACGGGGACAGGCAACGCTCCCCCAACCACAGCTCCAAACACTGGGACTGGCACAGGCACGGGCACTGGCACTGGCGGCACTGGCACGGGCACGGGCACGGGCACTAGCACTGGCACGGGCTCTAGCACGGGCACGGGCACACCATCGTCTATAATTCCTCCTCCATCATCAGTGTTCAACTCGGGATTGGGCCCAACTGGCATCAATGACAATGCTGGTGCTGCTGCTTCTTTTGAAGGCACTAAATTGTGGCTCATTGCATCTTTGACCCTCTTGTTTTCAGGCCCCTTTTTGCTGTGGGGTTGAAGGTTAAAGGCTGAAGGGAAAAGAGTGGGGGGTTTGATGTGTGGATGAGATTTTGCCACGGAAGGGATGGGGTAGGCATGTATTTACTTTGGGATAAGTAGGGGGATCGTCTAGAGCCAAACCCCCCACTAGGTTTTTTGTTTCTTTCCTTCCACCTGTGTGAAAAAGCTTTAGGAATTTGATTCCTATTGAGTGGTGATATGTGACTGCTTTTGTGGTGGATCCTGATCTCTCCTGTTTAGATTTTTCTCCTTTTGTATATCTAGAGAGAGGTAGTAGTATTTTTATTTATTTTTTAATCTAATGAAAAATTGGCACCGTCTTAAAACCCCCTTTAAGTTTAATTATTTTTGTCTACTGGCTTAGTTGTCCTGATGATTCACGATGGGGTTGTGTTTCTACGCAATTGTTATTTTATTTTCATGATCTTATTAGTTGAAAAAATGACACATTGCATTTACTTGACTATTACATGTACTTGAGAAAGAGAGTCATTTTTCTTTTTTAAATAATTAAGTGCGTCATTTTTTTTTCTGTCCGTCCAACTTTGGGGGCCAGCAAAGCTTTTATTGTCATTTGGTAAGACTTTTACGTTGCTCGGTAACAACGTGTTACCAACTGAGGGCAAGCAAAGCTTTTATGGTCATTTGCTGAGACTTCTTTCACTTTGGTTGGATTACTTAAGGGGAATGCTTGCTTGAAAAAGAATTTTTTTGTGGACGGGTAAATAAAAACTGCGATATATATTGATGTGGAGGGTGCCGTCAAAAAGTATATAGAAGAACAATTTTGAACTTGCTATCCAAAAAAATTCAACAATCTATTTTTCCGGATAGCACAGACGTTTGAACGGCCAACCAACTTGGCAACATCATCACTGTATCTGTTTTTCTCTTGACAATGACGTTTTTAAGCCGGATCAATGATTAAAAAGTAGCGAGTTTTGTTAATGACGACGGACCAGTCTGGAAAGGATTCACTGTGAAATTACTCCCATCATATGTTTGAATTTCACCTGGACGTATAGACGAGTGTTTCGCGTAGTTTTTGCTCATGCAATTTGTAGGAGAGAAGGGGTAGACAACTCTTCAATTCAAGTACTGCCTGTGCCTATTGTGGAACTGTATTTTACCATATGGCCAAACTACCATGTCCTCCAAAACTCGCTCTTCAATTCATGATTTATTTGCTTTGGATCATAAGTTCAATTCTAACTTTCCTGTTTTGCTGATTGGCGTATTGACGTTAAACTTCTCTCCAGTTAGACACTTCCGATGCGTGATTTTGTATGAGATTCTTCATTCATACTACACTGAGAATCTTAGATCAACCTCCCAAATTGCAGTAGGATTCTCATTTCCACATCCACAAATTAATATGCCAAGTTTCATGGATTTACTCTTGCACCGAAACACTTCGCAATTTGAAGCAAGGAGCATGATGTTCAAATACACAAAAGGTTTACTTAGCCTGCAACAAAACTTGAGACTATCCCTCTGATCTATTGGATTCTCTTGCTCTCCCTCCTTCACATTGCTCAGAATGTCTGATGCAAGCACAAATCTATGAGAAAAGATTAAACAATTTCTTCATCCCCCCAAAGGGGGTGGTGGAGGGGAGGAGGTGCGGGGGGCGGACTGCATGTGTTTCTGGTTTGTCAGTTCTTGAAAGAAGGTGCTACAAGATTATCTAAGCATCACACCAACCTAGAATAACTTTTTTGGCACAGGATTGAACTTGTTCATTTGATTTTCAAGCACAAATAATTTATCATTCACATGTTACACGATCTATAATTCTAGTAAAGTAACACTTTGAAAATCAAATTTCTCGTCTTGGCTAACATGATAAAAGAGAGAATGAGGGCTATTAGTTCAGTGAACCTGAAAATGAACATTTTCAGTTCGATCCCAACTCCCAAAACCCAATACAAGTTGTGATTGAATTCAAACCTGAGAAACACGTTGAGCTTCTTTATAGCTATCTTCTCCAACAAAATCCAGAATCAATTTGGCAACAGAGTTGGGCTTTTCCACATGAGGAAGGTGGCCACAATCTGGTATTTGGCGTATGACAGCATGTGGCAGTTCACAATGCAGCCTCTGCATGATGTGATTTAAAGAGCCACAAAAGTTATAAGTTTGTTTCCCATTGAATCGATTGGGCAATATGGTAGACAGATTCAATTAGCATTAGCAGAAAGTTAGGTTAGTTGTGGACATCCAAAAAGTTTCACACCAGCAAGTAATGCGTGACTAAAGATAGAATTTTACAAATGTGTTGCACGTTTTGTTTCAAGTTCATCAATCGCATCTGTACAGGAAGAAGTTCAGGAAGTACTAACCACTGCCAACTTGTTGCTAATGATTTGATCATTCTCACCCCAAATGATCAGTGTCCTCCGCTTGACCTGCAGAAGAAATTGTTAACCATTTTTGGGAAATTGCTGGGAAATCGGGACAATTTAATGCTAGAACCAAAAACAGAAATTAAAGACTTCAAGGAGTAAATTGCTTTCGTCCAGCATGACAACCCAGTCCAAAGGTGTTAGTCATAGGGATTCGACATGTTATAGCACAAGGATAACCTTTTAAGCTGGATGACAAGATCAAAGCATTTACTGACTCCATGACACATTAACAAGTACCTTCTCTATCTGAGCGCTAACATTATAACCACCACTAATCATAAAATTTACAGTTGCATCCTCCCACCAAGGATATAGACAATGGAGTCTGCCCACCTGATTACATCCACAACCAAATAATAAAGATGGAATTAAATCCAATACGACCAGCAAAACTTTATGATGTTAAAAAAAAAAAAACAGTGAACAACAGTTTGGTTAGTTCCATTTATGAGATGAAACACTCACATTCATCCAGTCTATGCTGGTGCTTAATGATAGATCATTGAATGCCAGAAGATTAACAAATAAGCGCAAGGGGATGCTCTTCAGTAAATAAACCTGGTTCAAAAGAAATGCTTATGGTTATAGCAGCAATATATATATATATATATATATATATAGAAAAATAGAAAAAAAGAAAAAGAAAAAGAAATGAAAGAGTGGGGCACAAATATTATTCAACAAAAGAAGAGTGTGTTGAAGGGGAAGGAACATGTGAGTGGCATGATGCCTCTCTCAAACATGTTCACAATGGAGTAAGACCGGAAGGAAAAGGGAAAAGCTTCTGCTCGTTTTTATTCTAGAAATCATCTGCAGATGGGACTTCTCATCAAGCCTGCTGGGCTCTGATAAGTGTTCTTCATGCGGAACTGGTTGATGACCGACAAATATTGAGGTTCTCGCTCAGTATTTTACTTATCTTATCACGAGGGAGTCGTACTTGAGCTTTTTGTGTATATCAAAAATAAAATCCCTACTTATTCAAGAAAGCACCAATACTGACATTAAAGCACTAAACCCGTAAATCACATGATATTTCCACTTTATTGCATCAATGGCGAGCTAAACATTGTTTGGTTGAGTGGAAGTCTTACCCCAGCATATGCTATTGCTCTAGGTAACTTTGCAAGGTTTCCTGTGCCTTCAGCATATACACTTGCGTCAATCAAAACCAACTTTTCTACCTGATAAGACGAGCTAAACATTTGAGTTTCATTGTATAACTAGATGCAATAACTTCGGCTACTACCTGTAAGAGATGAACAGCGATTGACTAGTAACTTCTCCTGAATAGATTGATGGCATTTATCTAGGTGCTTCAGTTACTGAGAAATACTTACTGCTTCAGGATGGTTGACAGCGAAGTCAATTGCAACAGCAGCACCAAGGCTTGGTCCAACCAATATGACGGGTCTTCTGATATAGGATTTCCAAAGCTGCAATTAAAATGTGATGAAACCAAACTAGTTTTAGACTTTTAGCGTAATGGATATAATCAGTACTAAATTCTGCAAATACTGGTTTCTGCAACCTAACTAAGGAAGCCTCTAACTGATCCTTCGATTCTGATAGCCGAAACAACAGATGCAAATAGATTGAAATTCCATAATGGAGCAGCAAAAGGCTGTCGATTGAGCATATAGTGAACTTGATAGGAGAAGAAATGATACAGTGTCACTACATTTGTGTCCTCATTTATGTTATATTAGAAACCTTAGCATCTAATTGAAGACCACTAGGATAGAACAAGTTTTAAAGACCACCAGAAGTACCTGATACAAGTGACCACGCTTAGATGCAACATCACATGATGGAAGTCTTTCTGGCAAGCAAGCGCGCACAAAAAAAAAAAAAAAAATGGAGAGAAATTACAATCATGGTGCGAGAGGTTGGGAAAAAGAAAGAAAGAGAAAAACAGGATAGAACTTCCAGCATTAGAAAAAGGAGCCAAGACATGAAAAACAAACCCAAATCAGAGAAACCCCAGCCAAGAACATCAACAGCCCAAGTCTCCAAACCAGCCTCCTCAAGCAGTGGAAATGTGTATCTCCATTCTAAACAGGAACTGAATTATAACATGTAGTGAACTCTAAAAGCCACATAATTGCAATTCTTCTCAAAACTATGTTATTGAATATATCATTTACCTGTCAAAACCATGGAGGAGAACCAATGGACTTGTCTCAGTACTCTGTCTCAAAGGCTTCACACAACTACTCATGATACTTCTTTCTGCGAGCCCAACCTGCATTGTCAATGGATCGTACGTAGTTGGGATGTCTTAGAAATTTGAAACAAGCAATATTGTCTGTACAAAATTTTGTTATCAAAAGGTGTATTCTTGTTAACTATTGATCAGAAAAGCATGTAAAATCCTAGGTTTCTTTTTTAAATTTTCTACTAAAAATAAGAAGAGCCCATTTTCCTAGCAGGCATAATATACATAACAAAATATCAAACCAACAAGCAAGGCGAGAGCCTGTCAAATAAATAAGACTCCTGTCTGTATAACAAGAACAGAAAAGAAAGTCAGAATTACGTTTACTGGCAGCCTCTCAATCCTTGCAGCAAGCATCCTTGCAAATGGATCTTTAAAATCCTCAACCTCTTTCGGTAGAAACGAAGGGAAATTGCTACCCTGAACTGTAGAACGTCTCATTTGGGCTCTGCATTTTGCGGGCACTAATGCAGGGCTGGCTGTGAGGGTGAGCATCTCTTTGCCACCGCAGGTTGAACTCGTATTACCAGTTGACCGCTGCTCACCTTATCCCTCTTCCTTGAAGAAGGAAAAGATACGTGTGGCCTTGACTGTGAAACCGTGGATAGAGGTCGGGTTGTTTTGTTTAACGTGTCTAGCGTGATTAATGGCGCGTGTATTTTACCAGTTCTTTTGTCTCCCGCCATGTTGAGTGGTTCAGATCAAATATTTATCCACTAGTTTAATGGCCCGCGGTTGTTAATAGTGATGGTGATAGCATATAAACCTTGACGTCAAACTATACCCAGATACGCTTACCGACAATACATTTTATTTGAAAATCTAAATTTCATATTAAGTTCTAGGCTCGTGCGCTGCTGCTGTGGACGGTGTTTATGAAATTGTCGGTGAATGCTCAAGGAAGCTGGAAACATGTTCGTTTTTTTTTATATATATCTTATTTATTTATTTATTTTAACACACACATCAACCACTCGTGAACGAATTAGTCTGTCAACATTTAAATTCGTAATTTTTTATTATAAAAAATTATTAATATTAAATTACAAACTCTTTCATGAACTAAAAATATATGCAGACCAAGTGCTTAGGCTCGAAAAGCAATTATAAGAGGCTGTTAAACATTCTGCAACCACTAAAAAAAAAGCAGTTGCAACAGTCCCGAGGAAATATTTTTATTTTGGCGGAATAAACGGCCACGAAGTTTGCTGTAGGCTTTTAGCTGCGATTTTAGACAGGAAAACTTAGTTAAAAAATGAAAAAAAAATTGGCAAGTAATAAAGTGCTTTTATTATTGTTATTATACTCACGATGTACGCAACATCTTAGTTATCTTAACTCTAATTTTTTATATATACATAGAATAACAAAAGAGCCAAAGAAGGTATTTTGTAAGGCTCAGGCATCATTCAAATGATAGGAAAAACAAACTCATATTTAAATGTAAGGTTTAATGGTTATTAGCATACATCCTGCGCGCTCGCTGCTGCGAGGTGAACTATATAATATTTTTATGTATTCATTCATATATAATATAAAATTTAAAAATAATTATTTAAAAGTATCACGTGAGAAAAATTCAAAAAAAAAAACTAAAACATATATTTCATAATTTATAGGAGGGTTAGCTAAATGTAAAGTTTGCAAAGTTAAATAGTAATATATATTTCATAATTTATAGGAGGGTTAGCTAAATGTAAAGTTTGCAAAGTTAAATAATATAATATTACTAATTAGTTATTGTTTGATATAATTAAAATATGTATAATAACTGATAATTAAAATAATAATGTGATAGTTTTTTTGAATTTTAGATGATTAATTTTTACCATATATTATTCATCCGTAATTTGTTAATGATACAAAAAAAAAAAACCAAAAGCAAAAAGACAAAAAACCTTTGTCATATCGAGAATTTGACAAAGAAAATAAAGATAAAATTATACATGATAAAAATTAAATGATTAAAACAAAATAACTAGAAAAACTTTCACTAAAAAAAAATTTATAAACAATAAGTCTAAAAACAATTCATTATGCATAAGGTAGGAACAAAAGTAAAACGTTATAGATATAGAATTTTAATGACCAAAATAAAAAAAATTAATAAAATAAGAATAAAAATAGAAAATATTTTTTTACTAAAGAAAAAACCTTAAAACAGCTTAAACCGTATTTAATTTTAGTGTAGAATGAATAATAATTAAATATAATAAAAATTTAATGATCAAAATAAATGAAAGATCACAAAACAAAAATCAAAATGTAACAAAAAGTTTTAGTAAAAGTAAAAAATAGTTTCTTGCAGGGAAAAAAATCAAATATAATAAAAATTTAATGATCAAAATAAAAAACAATTACAAAATAGGGACTAAAACAAAAACAAAAAATCTACTAAATTTAATGACAAAAATAAAGAAAAAAAATCCCAAAACATGGATGATAAAAAAAAAAAAAAGCTTAGGATAGTAAATTTTATTTAGTTTTAGTATAGTAAGGATAAAAATCAAACATGATAAAACTTAATGACCAAAATAAAAACACATCACAAAATAGGAATAAAAAAAGAACATAAATTTTTACTAAAAGCCAAGAAAAAATATTTATTATAGGGATAAAAATCAAATATAATAAAATTTTTAATATTTATTATAGGGACAAAAATTAAATATAATAAAATTTTAATGATCAAAATAAAAAAAAAGATTAGAAAAAAGGGACCAAAATAAAAACGAATTTCCTTAAAAGCTTGGTTAGCAATCCAAAAAAAAAAAAAAAAGGTGTAAAAGTTTGGAAGCCAGACAACCGAAAAAAGGGAAAAAAAAAAAAAGAAGGTGAACACTCGAATGAACAATCAAGTGCTACGGTGTTTTCTCATTTTCTTTTAGTTTTATTACTAGATTTTTTAACCACGCTACGCTGCGAATTGGATAAAATATATAAAATCATATAGAAAAATTATTTCAGTTTAATAATCTGTTTTATGATAAAAAATAATTATAATTTTTAAATGAAAAAAATTTATATTTAACTATTTCTTATTTGTGTTTTTAAATTTTAGAAATAAATAATAAAGCAAATAAATTATTGATTTCTTTAAAATTTTAACACCCAATTAATTGTTGGTTCTTTTAAAATTTTAACACCTAATATTATTAAGAAATTAAAATTAAAAAAAAATCAATGTTTAGGAAAAAAAAAAGGAGGCCAACCGTTTACTTGTTCATGTGAATAGTAAATAGATAGAAATTAAAAAAAATTAGTGTTTAGAGAAAAAAAAAAAAAGAGGGCAAGCCGTTTACCATTCAAATGAACAATAAACGAGTAAAAAAAGGGGGGGGGAGGCGGCGAGTGCTGGCAAAAAAAAATGAAAACTTAAAAAACCAAAAAAAGCCAAAGTAATATAGCAATGAACGAGTGATTAACACCGTTAATTGCTACGATGAAAAATGATTTTTCTTTAGTATATAGTATTAGATTTTTTACTCGCGCTATACTTGCGAGTTGGATAAAATATATAAAATCGTTTAGAAAAATTATTTCAATTTAATAATCTGTTTTATGGTAAAAAATAATCATAATTTTTTAATAAAAAATTTTGTATTTAACTATTTCTTATTTATTTTTTAAAATTTTAAAAATAAATAATAAAGAAAATAAATTATTGGTTTCTTTAAAATTTTAACACCTAATTAATTGTTAGTTCTTTTAAAATTTTAACACCAAATACTATTAAGAAACGAAATTAATTAAAAAAAATCAATGTTTAGAAAAAAGAAAAATAGGATGCAAGTCGTTACTCGTTCATGTGAACAGTAAATGGATGGAAATTTTTTTAAAAAATTCAATGTTTACAAAAAAAAAAAAAAAAAGAGGAAAGCCGTTCATCGTTCAAATGAACGAGTAAACGGATGGGAGGCAACGAGTCTAGCCAAAAAAAATATGAAAAAAAACAAAAATACTATAGCAATGAATAGTGATTGACATTGTTCATTACTACGATGAAAAAGCGTTTTGCTTTAGTATATAGGATAATAATGAAGGAGCAAAAGCGATGTTAGAAGATGTTGCATACTCATCAAAAGGTGCTATTGTAACATATGCGGTAACCTATTAATCTAGTGATTCCAACACCGACAATAAAGGAAAGTCTCGCAATAGAACAATCTGGCATTGAAAGCTTTATGAACATAAAATAAAGAAGGATGAAACATAAAATTATGAGAAACTTTAAATTAGAAAACAAACAAAACAATTCTACTAAGACTAGACCAAACTTTATAGCTATAGTAAAGATAGAAATGTATTAAAGTCGATTTTAATATATGTTCACTCGTAAATTAAAAAAAAATCATTATAAATTGGCTTTTGTAATGTATTCCATTGATCTTAAATAATTGATAAATTTATAATCAAATAACATATTTAAACCATATGAACATATCAAAACAATTTGAAAAAGAAAAATTAATATGTAATAAGTGTAATCAACATGAAACATCAAGAAATTGGAGCAAAATTAATTGTCTTCGCTAACCTCTATTCACGTAAAATTAAGTTGATAGCTCATTTTCTTTATCTTTACGTCTCATACCTTTAAAACCTTTTTTTCTTACCAATATCCTACCTCTTTCTCTTTCTAATTGTAAATTATCCTCTATAACAATTTTATAATCGTCCACTATTAGCCACTTAGAGCCTCGCCCTTCAATTATTAGATATAATGGAAGCAAGATGAGAGAAAAAGAAGGATTTAGGATTGATAAGCCTTAGTAAAGCTATAGCTCAAAACCAATTTTGATTTTTTTTTTTTTACATATATTGCAATATATAAGATAGGACTTTGGGAGAACCACAACTCGGAACCAATTGATTCGATCTTTTTTTTTTTTTACATATATTACGGCATATAAGAGTAGGAATTTATATACGAACATTGACAATTAATTCTAGATGGAGAAATCTAGAGTCACCAAAAAGTTTCAAAGTCTAATAAGTTCTAAAGTCTAGTAAATACAAAAGACTTTTGACTCAATTAATACGGACATTGAAAAATAGAATACATGAAAGACTTTTGACTCAATTACTGTAAACGCTGAAAATTACAAATTACTTCTTAACACTCTCTCTTAAATTTGTAATTTTTAAAAATGTTTTGAATTGTTGAAACTTCTCCGTAGATGCTACTTCGGTGAGAACATATGCTTGGTTGATTATTTGTATTGATAAAGTCCAAGTAAAACACCTTTTTGTTGACCATATTGTGAATGATGCAATTTAATGTATTTTGACCTTGCATGAAACACAATTTTTTGTCATGGAAATAGTCGACATGTTGTCATATAAAATTGCAATAGGTTCCGAAAACTTTTATTGTAAATTGGAAGAATTCTCCTTAACCAAATTGTTTCACAAACGAGCTTCATTAGTTGTTATATATCTACCTTTTAATCATGACAATGCAACTAAAATTTGCATATTTAAACTCCATGAAATGACATTTGAGCCTAAACAAAAAACATATCCGGATGTGCTATTTCTTTCTTGTTGATCCCAAAATTCTTGGTACCTAGTAGGTAACGTAAGATCCTCTTTGTTTCTATAAAATGAAGTTTACATGGTTCTTTCAAGAATCTAAAAATTAAACTCACATAATGAACTATATCTAGTCTTGTGTTTGTGAGATAAATCGAAAAACCAACAAGACTTTTGAAAATTTTTTAATCAACCTTCTTTGCTCCATCATCTTATTGGCCACTAGTTTGTAATTTTCCATTTCAATTTTTTTGTAAGTTTGCAACATATTTCTCTTGAGAGATGAAATATCTTTTTTATATTGCTTCACCTAAATCTTAAGAAAACACTTCATAAGTCTTAAATATATCATCTCATATTCTTTCACCATCGAATTCTTGAATTCTCCAACCATTTCACCATTAGTGTGTGGGTGTGTGTGTGTGTGTGTCATATATATATATATATATATATATCATATCATATCATATCATTAGCACGAGGCAAACCACTAAAAAATCCACTCCTTTTTTCTTCATATAAAATGATGGTTCGGATTGACTTTTATCAAAACTATTTTAAAAATATAAATCTATCTTGTTGTTCCATGCTCTTATAGCTTATTTTAAGCATTAAATAGCCTTGAGAAGTCAACAAACCTTTTCTTCTTTTTCTCTCATCGAACCTCGAGGTTGCTTTACATAAACTTCTTTCTTTAATTTCAATCGAGAAAAGCTTATTTAACATCAAGTTAAAAAAAAAATGTAATTGTAATCAAGTTACTAAAGCAAGAACAACTTTTATAGTTTCCATCCTTACAACGGATGCAAATGTTCTCCCAAGTTAACTCTAAACCGTTGTGAGTAGCCCTTCGTAATAACTCATGCCTTATGCTTTTGTATATTGTCATCATCATTATGATTAATCATGTAAATCCACTTTAAGTCAATTACTTTATTTATTTTAAAAAATCTACTAACTTCCAACTTTGGTTCTTCTTAATGATTGTCATTTCTACAATAATAGCTTTTTTCCATACTTCCTCTCTTATAGGATTTTCAAAACATCTTGGTTTATAGGAAAGTATAATAAGAGAATTCACTGCTTTTGTGCAAGTGCCTAAAAGCTAAAAGGAATCAATCTTAAAGGGGGCAAAGTTTTAAGCCTCTTTAAAGATTGGGTATTGGGGGGTTTTTGTCGTAATAATTATGAGCATCTCTCTTTTTTTTTTCCTTAGCATGAACAATTTGCTTGCATGCCACCTTAAGCACATCTTTCTTTCTTAATTTAATGCTAACCTAGTGAATGAACATAAGTCTTTTAATAACCGTGTATAAGTAGTTGTTTAGTGCATAAGCAATTCTTAAGTGGCCGCATCGAAAGGTACGCATGGTGTAGGTTGGTTGAAGATGATGTTACGCGACGTTGAAAATTAGCCTTAAAGTGAATGAATTAGTTTGTGACCACATTGAAAGGATCGATAAGTTTGAATTTCTTTATTGACCACAACAAAAGGATTGAAACTTTTTAAGTGGCTAGTTTAAATCTGAATCATCATTTTAAAAGTTGGCTCTTGATGTGCTAGCTCTATTTTGAGAAGTCATATTTGAATATCCTGGATGAGTTGTAACTTTAAGAAATTACATTCATGTGATTGACATCTTCTTCCCACCTCCAAATTGTTATCTCATCAAAAGTAACATTCCTTAAGGGTATCGGCTAATTCTTTTTAAGATTAAGAAACGAAAAGCCTTTAGATTCATGATCGCACCCAATAAAGATGTGTTTCTCATCTTTCTCGTCAAACCTATCTTTGTTTTGGGAAAAAACAAGAGCACAAGCAATATAATCAAAAACTTTAAGCTAGCCGACTATTGGTTTATAATTATGCCAAGTTTTAAATAGGGTTCGATTGTAAACTACTCTTTTTAGAGAACGATTAAGAATGTAGGATGTTGTGTTGACAACTTCAATCCAAAATTTTCTAAGAAGGCCTTATCCTCTAAGCATGCTTTGTTTCATCTTTTTTATTGTACAATTCTTTTTTTCAGCTACTCTATTTTATTGAGGAGTGTGTCTCACTATAAGTTACCTCCGAATTTCATTCTTTTTGCAATAATCAAGAAAAAGGGCTTATGTATAAATTCTTCACTAATAGTCATTTTTTCTTTCTATAAAAGTTTTAAATTGCAAAAAAAATTAAAGATTGCATCTGATTTTAAAATAAACTCATATCGTTATGGTATAGCCATTAACAAAAATAAAAAAATATCTCTTATTTCTTAGAGATGGAGTTTGAGTTGGCCTATAAATATCTCGCTTGTACAAGCTCTAGAGGTTTATTTTCTCTCCAAACTATTTTTGAAAAAAGAATTGATGCATCTTCCCATATATATAACCTTTATAAACTCCAATTTTGTTCTAGACCGAGGAAAGTCCAATTACCATGTTCTTTTATTTCAGTAATTACAGGCCATTAGAATTCAAATGGCCATATCTCAAGTGCCATAAATAAGACTTGTTAATATGCTTACTTTTAAATACAACATTCTAAAATACTTTTATGGTCGGAGAAAAATATTGTTCAAACCTATTTGAACCAATGCTGTTTTTTTCCTTAATATTCTTATAAAAAAATTCACATTTATGAGCATAAAAAATAAATTTATAATACTTTTTCATCATTTTTCCAACACTTAAAAGGTTTTGACTAATACTAAGAGAATAAAAGACATCATGGATGTATTTTTTGTTACCTCTATTAGTGTAGACTTTACTCGACTCATCTTCTTTCAATCTTTACCTTTTTACTATCACCAAGTTTAATATGAGAGGAATAATGTTTCATCAAGCTCCATAAAGCTTGGTAGTTCACCAAGTGGTGACTTCGACCGCTATTCAAGTACCATAAATCTTCAACCTTGTGTTCAACATTCATGCAAGAGTAGAACAATTGATCATCATGTTTTTGAAAATTAGCTAGATGTTTATCTCTATTGCTTTCTCTTTTATTTCTATGTTAATAATTTCTCTCAAAGTGAGTAGAATTTTTACATCTAGTACATTTAAAAAATAACAACATCCGGTTTTATGGTTAGACCTCTTGCAAATGACGTAATAAAAGAACTATTGTCAAATCTTTGTTGTTGCTAAAATTTTGATCTTGCTTTACCTTTGCCTCTACTTTAATTTAAAGTCCACATCCTCTACCATAAGATTCTTTTCTCTAAAATGAACCTTATCTCTACTCTTATTGGAATCTTGATGCCTTCTTCATAGAATTTTGATTTGAAAAGCTTGTTCTAATGGTTATTTATTGTATATGTTCACACTTTGCTCATGTGCCTTGAAAAAACCCCATTAATTCATGAATTGTAAGTTTTGACGAGTCTTTTGTCTCTTCAATGACATCAACTATATGCTTAAATTTATATGGTAAAATTGTAATGATTCTCTCAACAACCTATTTCCTCAAGAACAATATCACCATAACTCTTTATCTGGTTGATGATTTCGTAGCTCTTAGAAGAAAAACCTCTAACAAGTTTATTATCTTTTATTATAATATTACCAATTCTCTCCATAGATTCTATAGCTTAGATAGTTTTTTTTTTAGCCTTTAAATTCATTCTTCAAGATCTCCAATGCATCTTTTGCTTTTTTAATAAAACAAAATTCTAGGATGGATGGATTTGCTTAACCTTTGCTAGATTATCCTCAATATTGTAGCATTTATCTTCACATTCTTCTTGTATTTTTTCTCATTTACTTCTATCCAAGATGAAGTTGTTATTGTTTAAGGTTGTTTTTTGTATCCTTCATCCACCAAAATTCACAAGTCTTATAAGATAAAGATTGTACCTACTTGAGAGCTCTAATAATCATAATATTTTTCATCAAAAATAAAAATATAAGTTGTTGTATGTATAAAAATAGCGATACTAAGATGAAGAAAGCCATTTGAAATAACACTCCAATACTAAATTTTTTGGATGTAATTGAAGCAAGATGAGATAAAAAAAAAAAAAGGTTTTGGATTAATAAACCTTGGTTGAGCTACAAATCAAAACAAATTGATTTTAATCTTTCTTTTTCTAATTTTTTTAATACATATATTATAGCATAGAAGAATAAGACTTTATATAAGAAACTAATATCTAATTTTACATTAAGAAATCTAGAGTCACAACAAGTTTCAAAGTCTAGTGAATACAAAAGATCTTTGATTTAATTACCGCAAATATTACAAAAATATAATACATAAATTTTTTTTACTTAATTACTATAGACACTAAAAATTATAAATTACTTTTTTAATGTCAACACCATCACTATTGTTGTCATCGTCACTTCTCTTAATTTCCCTCTTCTTCCTTCTTTTTTGCACCTATGCTCTCAACAAATCTTCCATCTTCTTTTCAATATGATAATAGAGATAAATAAATAAAAAATTAAGAGAAATAGAAGTAAGAGTATTATAAGTGTCGGAGAAAATTAGAAGGAAAAATGTGGAGAAATCTATGAAGTTTTTTAGAGAGAGACAAAATTGACTCAAGTTTTTCTTTTCTTTCCTTTATTATGGCGGGGAGGTAGAATAAACAAGAAGCTAGATGAAAAATAAAGGGTGACACTATGACAACAAATGATAAAAGCAAAACTTATCTACTTATGACAAGATGCTCAAAACTCGAACCATAAACAATTGAAATGAGTGGAGAGGGAGGTCAAAATGCAATAAGAGAGGGCCAATCTCGTTGAAAAAAAATGATGAACCACAATCTAAGCATCGTCACCTTTTTTTTTTCCTAGAAAACAATGGTAAAAGGGGAAAAACAAAAAGAAACAAAAAGTGGGAGAAACAATGTGAAAGAGCAATCCATTAAATGCATTGTCTAGACACAAATGGTGTAAAGACAAACAAACCAAACACCAAAGTAGCCACTAAAAGATAAGATAGAGTCAAAAAAAGTAAAAAAAAAAAAAAAGCCTAACAAATACAATGGTATAATCAAAATGAAGGGCAAGATTGAGGCCAAAATGAACAAAACCCTCTCCGGAGCACCAAAAGGAAAAATCAGCCAAGCCGAGTACATGAATTAAAAGAACTCTAGTTGTAAAATAAATCCAAACCTCTAACTAACCAAGTATTTACATGTCAACCCCTTTCTCAAGCTTTGGTGCCAAACACATGCAAAGACGAATGTGAAGTGATTAAAAGTTGTAAAAAACAATTTTTGAGTAATTAAATCCATAATAATTTATGTGTACTAAACGATCTAACAATTAAATGCCAAAATTAGTGTTTTTTTTTTTTTTTGTAATAACCAAAGAAAGATAAGGAATTAATTTATTTTGAAATCAAATTAGATTTGATGAATATTTTTTTGTTAATTTAGATAAAATTTATAATTCTTTAAAGTTTATTCCTTTTATGGATTGAAAGGGGTGTTTGTTTTATGTAAAATATTTTATGAAAAAAAATATTTTCCCCCAAGATGTTTAATAAATAATAATTTAAAAATATTATGGTAGAAAAATGATAATGACATGTTACGGTAGTGGTGGTATGACTATGGTAAAGGTAGAGGTGGTGGGGGTAGCAATTACAATGACGGTGACAAATATGGTGAAGATGGTGGAGTAGTTGAGGTGGTAACGAATAGGTTGAGTTGGCAATGGTGAGGTTATTATGGTGGGAGGATGGTGGTGATTGTATTGGTGGAGGTAGCGGCATTGAGGTTGTGAAGGCGGTAGTTGAAATACTTGGATGATATTATAAGTAAATTAATATTTGTAAAATATTATATGAAAATATTTTTCAATAAATAAACTAAATTTAAAGAATGTATGTAAAATATTTTACACAAAAAATGATCCTAAAGTAAAATTACCATTACTTGGATTTCATGGTAACTCGTTAAAATTATTGTAATTTAAAATAAAAATAAAAATCACAAGCAATGATTTCAAAGTAGAGATATGTTGATGCATTGTCTTTGAGTATTATTTTATAGAATTTATATAATTTTTTATATCATAAGTATTATTTTATAGAATTTATATAACTTTTTGGATTCATACTCATTTTCACTATATATTTTTAATGTACAAGTGGTACTTTTGTAATTCACAACCTATATTTGTGCATCCGATATCTAAGTTTTTATCAACTATTGCACTTTGGTCTCTAATGTTTTAAAAAAATTGTTTTGATGCTCGACTTCATTTGTATCATAATTTGGTTCCTAAATGAAGAAAGAAGAGAGAGAGAGAATAAAGGAGAGAGAAAGCCATAACCAATCCATTTTGATTTTTTTGTTACCACCAATCATGCCTTCAATTTATTTATTTTGGAGAGGAAAGTTTATTTATGATGGTCACAAACTATGAAATAATTGAAATGGTTAGATTAGGATCCTAAAATATTTTTAATTATTGAGTTTGATTTGAATTTATGTGTCTTTTGTTTGCATTAAAATGAGTTTTAAAATTTCTAAATGAGTTTTTTTAATCTTATTTTAGTTATTTTATGGTATTTTGAGATAAAAAATGATGTTGGAATTGGTTTACTTTAGAACACGCCTTAACATCTCTCTTAAATACTCGAATTATGCAACTTCACATGTCACTGTAAGAATTCAAACGGAATGAAGATTTTATATATGTTTATTTGCAAAGACTAAACACATTAATGGTGAATTAGCTATAATAGCTAGATCTCTATCTGTTTTAGATTTCAATCTCTATATTTTTAAGAGATCGCATGGATAGTTCAAAGACCCTATGACCACAATATCAACTAAAGCTAAATTTGTTTCCTTCATCAAATTGTATAGTCTCTTGTTGAGTTATAAATTCCTCGAATGAGAAGTTTTTTGCCCGCCGACTTTATCTTTTGGTTCTCATTATCGTTGCTTGTATCTCGGCCCATATGACCATTACTTCGTCACAATAGTAGTAACCACTAAGAGCCATTTTTCAATTAGCAAGACCGACTTTCTTCTTTCAGGTGGCAACATGGGTTGAAATCATGGTCATTAGAGAAATAAAAAGCAACAACCAACTAGTTCACCACTAGTTGGTCTCATAATCAATCTCAATGGACTAATCCTCCATCTCATCATAACATACATACCAATTATATAATTGATGAAACTATACTAGCTTAATCATGCTCCCAATGCTATTAGCAATGTTTCCCATTGGTAGCCGGTATGGTCTTAAGCACCACTTTCTTTAGTTTAGTTTTTGTTGCTTAATGATTCTCAAATACTATTGCCCCTCATCATGTCACTACCGACTTCTTGGATATGACTCAATTTGATCCCTATGGAGGTACCGATCAATTACAATTAATAGATGATAAAGGATTTGGTATCTTCTATCATGTTTATTTCTCAAGCTCTTTTATCAACTTGTGAGCTACTACCAAATTAAGAAATAAACAAAGAAAAAAATACAAAAATATCTTTATAATCGCATACTCTTTGTACTCGGTATCATATTGTATTTATATATAGGTTTCTGTACAATATAGAAAAAATCAAACTGCCTTGTAATACATGGAATATAGGCAACATTATAAGAAATAATAATATATAATATAGGAAAATACTTATGACTACAATATAGAAAAATACTCATGACTTAATAAAATATATAAAATATTCATGTTACACATCTCATGATCAAACTAAGAACTAATCATAAGGCTAATATCATCAACTTTAAGAATGATAATAATTACTTAACAAGCTAGCCGTAAGAAACTACTCTAGTTCTTTTTGATAGTACAATAATACCGTTGTTGCTTTCTTATTAAGAAAAAGAAGTTGCTAATTTTAATGAGTGGTATTTTATGCCTAAATTTTAGAAGGTTCGTGCTTTTAAAATTGTAATTTTTATTAAAAACAAATATGTGTGTGGTTATTATTTTCTATGCCAATATGTTATAGGTTCGAGTGTATTTATAAGGAATGATAGGGACATATTACATGAGAGAGTGTTGAAATACATTGTTCAAAAGAGTGTTGATAGCAATTGATCAATGCCTTTGTCACAATTTAGTCATATGGATACTTAGTTTAGTCTTATTGCTGACTTTTATGGTCTTGGTGCAACAAAAATTCCAATCCAATGAGTATTGTTCTCCATTTAACTTTTTAAATTGTAACTAGTTTAGAAATGACAACTATTCTTGCTCAACCAATTTGCAGACAAAGGGAAGTTTTGATTAGCTTGCAAAAACCACCTAGAGGTTAGATTAAACAAAACACTGACGGATTCTAATGCAGTTTTATTGAAACATGTACAGCCGAGAGTGTTCTACATGACGAGCCTGAAGTTTGGTTCCAAAGCTTTTCTTTTCACATCCGAGTATGTTCGGTCATGTGTGCCAAACTTTAGAAAATCCTTGTTGGTTTAGGGATGACATGGTCTGTAGGCTATAGGAGAGTGCTATTTGAATATGACTCTAAGTCAATCATTCAGTTATTGTCATTTTAGGATGACTATCGTGGTGCACAGAGTCACTTTGTGCACACCATTTGCAATAAACTTCAACTACCATGGCAAGTTGAGTTTATTCATGCTCATAAAGAAGCTAATCGTACTATGGATTGATTTATTTCTTATGTCTATTCTCTCACTCAAGGAATCACTTATCTTTGGGATGCTCCGCTTAGTTGTGTTAAAATATTATTAGAAGACATTTGTAAAGCTGCATTTTTTATATTATATAACATGTAATTTTCTACTAGAGTTTTGTCTCTCCTTTAATTTTTTTTTTTAAAATAGTGTTGTTAGCATGGCTCTTAAATTATTTTGAAGAGTTAGCTTAATTGACGTTGGTGTTTCTTTAATTAAAACGTTTTGAGCTCAAACTCCTATTTTACAACAAAATGATTTGTTTTTTAATTTTGACAAATAAATTCATATTTTTCTTCTTTGTATTAGTAGGTGCGTGATGTAATTTATAAATTAATAATGCTGACTTGACAAACGGGTAAAAAACACTACTTTCTCTTTTTCTTTTTAAATTAAAGAGCAATCTCTTTTTTGAAAACATACAGAAATTAACCAAAAATTAACTTCTGTTAGTGGTGATGTAATGAGATTAAATTATAAATTAGTCCTTTTAGTTTTTCAAAATAAATTAAATAATTTTTAGTTTTAAAAACTAATTAATTAGTCTTTATATTTTTAAATTTATTTGTAACTTAATTATTTTCATTCATTTTCAATTTATTTAATTTTTATTTTAAAAATAAAAGAGTAAAAAAATTAATGAGAAAATAAGATATTTTTAGAATAAAATAGTATTAAAGTAATCATAATGAACACTGATTAAATGATTAATTAATTAATTTTTTGAAATAAAAAAATTATTTAATTATTTTTTAAAACTAAAGAGCTAATTTATAATTTTCTCGATGCGATGGACCACAGTGCAGCTTCTCTGTTATAAAATAAAATAATTTTAAAATGAAAATCATGGAAGTTTGCCAAGCAAACGGGGAGCGATGTCATTTTCCCATGTTCGTTTCTTTTCCACAACGAAACCAATGACTATTCTACTAAGGGACCACGTAGACAAACAAAGCGGATATCAAAGCCACCAGATTCTAATCCAACGACCGTGATTTGTTAACACCGCGACTACATTCTCTGCTTGATAACACAGAATATCACATGGTCTCCCTCTCATACTACAAAAAACGCAGGATACATTCGAAAGTAAGCGTTTTCACCAGCAAGCCACTTCCATGGATCCATAGCAACAGAGAGCAGGAGCTCCCCAGCGTGGTCCTCCTCCTCAAACCGGAAATTTCTCTCCAATTCTCACCGTATTCCTCTCCTTCATCGCCATCTTCGCCTTGGTAATCTCTCTCTCGCAAGTCGTTAACTGTTTCAGCATCATGCATATAAATAGCAGTACTGTGAAATACTTGCGTAAGTTGACAGTCCTTAAAACAGTTTTTGTTTTTGCTATAATGATCTTTTTTGGTAATTAATGCTGCTCCAGGCTTGTTATAAATGAGAAATTTTAAAATGTGTTGCAATTAGACGTGCTGCGTTGCTGTGGAGAATTTGATTATGATTTCTTTTCCTCATTCGGTTTGATTTTATAATTTTGGTACGTAGCTGTGTTAAAATTTAGGAATTTCACGCTCTGTAAATGCATTATTATCCAAATATTAGCTCAATAATCTGCTATGCTTAAGTTTAGTTGAATCGAACTGTGGTATTCATTCTCAGTCTTCTATAACAAATGAGGGTAAATTGACTTCATTAATCATCTCGCCAGCTTCTACATCCATCCTTGATTTTGTATTTGAGTTCGACTTGTTTCGTTGTTTAATTCTCCACGGACCACGATCATGATGGGATGGATGCCTTTTAATCTTTCAACATTGTTTGGTTAACATTAATTATAGAAGCATGTTGAATTTATATAAGCTGGAATATCTGCTACTTGAGAGTTGAGCCTGGGAATTTATGACGTTCTATGATAATAATATATATAGATAGTGATTCCATCATCATCAAATATTAAGAACAGCCGATCCATCTTGCACCAAGTCCCAGAAGGTCATGTTGGGGTATATTGGAGGGGAGGTGCCCTTCTAGAGACAGTTACGGATCCAGGTGGGAATGCGGGACTGTTTATTTAAGTTGCATTTTATGGTTCCTGGCTTTTTTTCTGGTGGACTCATATTTTAAAATTTTCAGGTTTTCATCTAAAGGCCCCTCTGATAACCCAGTACGAGCCTGTTCAGGTGACACTTCAGACAGATCAGGTACGTTTTGTTTTCCAAGTTGAGGATTAATAGCTCTGTATTGCTGTGTTGATACTTAAATCCTTCTTGAATTCGAGAAAATGCAGGTTAGGGATATCCCGTGTGGTACGAAAGGAGGTGTCGTGATTAACTTTGAGAAAATCGAGGTAAGGACATAAAATGTGACTTTTTATTGACATTACAAGAAGCTTAAGGCTTGATATTTCCATTTACATTTGCTGCCTTGTCCTCTTAATACAGTTTATTTGCTTTCTCGGAATACTTGTTTCAGGTTGTCAATCGGCTTCGTAAGGAATATGTATATGACACACTACTGAACTATGGCGTGCAATATGACCATACGTGGATATATGACAAGATTCACCATGAAATCAATCAGTTCTGCAGCTCTCATACTCTTCAACAAGTTTATATTGATGTTTTTGATCAGGTATGTTAAGGAATTCTAAAAGACATACTTTTTACCCAATATATCCCCCTCTGGGTGGTGGTTGCTTCAATCAAGAATGCTTTTCAACGTGTGTTAAATTTGATTTATATCTCTTTCTGCTTCCTGTATCTACGTTGATGAAAGATCAATTCCACTATTTTTTCTCAGATTGATGAAAAGATGAAAGATGCTCTTCAAGGCGATTGCACACGTTATGCTCCTGAATCGAAGTCATAAGTGTGCGTGTCACGAAGCCTACCATTCCGGAAAGCATAAGAAGGAATTTCGAACAGATGGAAGAAGAACGCACTAAGGTATGCTACACTCTTCTCAGTCAAACGAGTTTGATTTTCATTCTTTTACTTTCTCTCCACTGAAACTTAGTTTGAGACAGAAAAGATGATTTAGTTGGTGAATAATACACGTTGGAAATCTTTTTTGAGATTGCTGTTGATATGAAGGCTCTCTCTCTCCCTTGGACTTTTCATTCATTGTATGGAGTCGTCTATTAATGTGGCTTTAACAGAGTGATATATTGGTATTTATGAACATCGTAGAACTTCATTCAACTGAGCAACTTGGACGCTATGGGTGGGCATTCAATTTGACATTCCTAATTTTCTGTGTGTGAAAGATTTATCATGCATCCATCTGTGATAGTGATTGATGCAGATTGTGCATTGCTGTTTAGGTCTTAATTTCTGTCGAGAGACAGAAAGTTGTTGAGAAAGAGGCAGAGACAACAAAGAAGATGGCTATCAGTGAGGCTGAGAAGAATGCCAATGTAAGCAAGATTCTCATGGAACAGAAGTTGATGGAGAAAGACAGTGCAAGGCAGCAGCAACATATTGAGAACCAAATGTATATGGCTCGTGAAAAGAGCCTGGCAGATGCTGCTTTCTATCGGTGAAAACTCCCTGTTTCTTTTTTCAAGTTAGAGTATTTCAGTTGATATCTTTCAAGTGGATTTATGTACTTGCTTTCTCTCTCATCCAGTGTCATGAAAGAAGCTGAAGCAAACAAGTTGAAGCTTACTCCCCAGTTTCTCGAGCTGAAATTTATCGAAGCCATTGCTGATAATACAAAAATTTTCTTCGGGGACAAGGTTTTAACCCCTTCTCTCTCTCCCACACACACCCTCCTAAATGCCTGCCCACTCTACCTACAAGCAAATTTAATATGGCATGTTATTTTTGCAGGTACCGAACATGGTTATTGATCAGAGACAGCTGGGAAATTTTCTGCAAAGCATGTCTGGAGAGATGGCTAGGGAAGCGGACTCCGAAGAAGTATGAAATGGCAGATCGGAAATATTGGTTCCATCTTCAATCTGTCCATAATGTGTGGCCAATAGCTGTATTCCCACACTGCTGCAAGACAATGATGAGAAATTGCTGATTGCATTCCATTTAAGCTTTGGTTTGGGGCTCACTTATGTTTTTTTTGGTCGCTATTGGTGGTTGCCACCAATGTTATCTGCAGTACGGTATATGCCATTGAGAGAAACAAGGTAGTTATGTTTTCTTAGGTTAAACATTCTTGTATTTTACTGTACTTTTTACTCTTGTCCATTCCACACACTAAAATTGTAGTGCTACACGGCAGTGTTAGATGCGAAAGATTTGAAAGATGCCTTGATTTTAAGAGAAGGGAAACCAAAGTTTTGTTTGGGATGTGTGACCTGCTGGGTCTCGCAAATGTCGTTAATTTGTTTATGATGAAGTCTAATTGCCCGGTCCATTCGGGTGCGGATATCCTGCTCGGTAAAGAAAAATGATGGGCCCTCTTGGAAAGGATTGTCCAGAGCACCGTGATGGTGATAAGGGAGGAGCAATAAAACAGTAGTATCGTGAACGTTGGATGGTAAGGGGCAACGGTGCGCGAGTCCCAAGAAATCATCTACTAATTCTTGTTGAAGGCTTTACATACGCTGTTGTCGCTCTTTTGCATATGTTCTTTTCTTTTCCACAACGAAAACAAAGACTGTTCTCCTAAGGGACCACGTAGACAAACACGGCGGTCAAAACCACCAGATTCTAATCCAACGACCGTGATTTGTTAACACCGAGACTACATTCTCTGCTTGATAACACAGAATATCACGTGGTCTCCCTCTATAAAAATACAGGCATAATGTTCTGATTAAAAGAAAAATTCCAAAGCCAGTGTTTTCACCAGCAATTCACTTCCATGGATCCACAGCAACAGAGAGCAGGAGCTCCCCAGCGTGGTCCTCCTCCTCAAACCGGCGATTTCTCTCCAATTATCACCGTATTCCTCTCCTTCATAGCCATCTTGGCCTTGGTAATCTCTCTCTCGCCAGTCGTTAACTGTTTCAGCATCATATAAATAGCTGTACTGTCAAATACATGCGTACGTAGACAGTCTTTAAAACGGTTTTTGCTTTTGCTATAATGATCTTTTTTTGGTAATTAATGCTGCTCCAGGCTTGTTATAAATGAGAAATTTTAAAATGTGTTGCAATTAGACGTGCTGCGTTGCTGTGGAGAATTTGATTATGATTTCTTTTCCTCATTCGGTTTGATTTTCTAATTTTGGTACATAGCTGTGTTAAAATTTAGGGATTTCCCGCTCTGTAAATGCATTATTATCCAAATATTAGCTCAATAATCTGCTATGCTTAAGTTTAGTTGAATCGAACTTTGGTATTCATTCTCGGTCTTCTATATCAAACGATGGTAAATTGACTTCATTAGTGATCTCGCCAGCTTCTACACCCATCCTTGATTTTGTATTTGAGTTCGACTTGTTTCGTTGTTTAATTCTCCAGACCAAGATCATGAGGGGATGGATGCTTTTTAATCTTTCAACATTGTTTGGTTAACATTAATTATAGAAGTATGTTGGATTTATATAAGCCGGAGTATCTGCTACTTGAGAGTTGAGCCTGGGAATTTATGACATTCTATGATAATAATATATAGATAGTGATTCCATCATCATCAAATATTAAGAACAGCCTATCCATCTTGCACCAAGTCCCAGAAGGTCATGTTGGGGTATATTGGAGGGGAGGTGCCCTTCTAGAGACAGTTACGGATCCAGGTGTGAATGCAAGAATGTTTATTTAAGTTGCATTTTATGGTTCCTGTCTTTTTTCTCGTGGACTCATATTTTAAAATTTTCAGGTTTTCATCTAAAGGCACCTCTGATAACCCAGTATGAGCCTGTTCAGGTGACACTTCAGACAGATCAGGTACGCTTTGTTTTCCAAGTTGAGGATTAATAGCTCTGTATTGCTGTGTTGATACTTAAATCCTTCTTGAATCTCGAGAAAATGCAGGTTAGGGATATCCCATGTGGTACGAAAGGAGGTGTCATGATTAACTTTGAGAAAATCGAGGTAAGGACACAGAATGTGACTTTTTATTGACATTACAAGAAGCGTAAGGCTTGATATTTCCATTTACATTTGCTGCCTTTTCCTCCTCTTAATACAGTTTATTTGCGTACTTGGCATGCTTATTTCAGGTTGTCAATCGGCTTCGTAAGGAATATGTATATGACACACTATTGAACTATGGTGTGCAATATGACCACACGTGGATATATGACAAGATTCATCATGAAATCAATCAGTTCTGCAGCTCTCATACTCTTCAACAAGTTTATATTGATGTTTTCGATCAGGTATGTTAAGGAATCTAAAAGACATACATTTTACCCAATATATCACCCTCTGGGTGGTGGTTGTTTCAATCAAGAATGCTTTTCAACTTTTCATAACTTTGATTTATATCTCTTCCTGCTTCCTGTATCTACGTTGATGAAAGATCAATTCCACTATTTTTTCTCAGATTGATGAAAAGATGAAAGATGCTCTTCAAGGCGATTGCACACGTTATGCTCCTGGAATCGAAGTCATAAGTGTGCGTGTCACGAAGCCTACCATTCCGGAAAGCATAAGAAGGAATTTCGAACAGATGGAAGAAGAACGCACTAAGGTATGCTATAGTGCTACACTCTTCTCAGTCAAACGAGTTTGATTTTCGTTCTTTTACTTTCTCTCCACTGAAACTTAGTTTGAGACAGAAAAGATGATTTAGTTGGTGAATAATACACGTTGGAAATATTTTTTGAGATTGCTGTTGATATGAAGGCTCTCTCTCTCCCTTGGACTTTTATTTCATTGTATGAAGTCGTCTATTAATGTGGCTTTAGCAGAGTGATATATTGGTATTTATGAACATCGTAGAACTTCATTCAACTGAGCAACTTGGACGCTATGGGTGGCACATTCAATTTGACATTCCTAATTTTCTGTGTGTGAAAGATTTATCATGCATCCATCTGTGATAGTGATTGATGCAGATTGTGCATTTCTGTTTAGGTCTTAATTTCTGTCGAGAGACAGAAAGTTGTTGAGAAAGAGGCAGAGACAACAAAGAAGATGGCTATCAGTGAGGCTGAGAAGAATGCCAATGTAAGCAAGATTCTCATGGAACAGAAGTTGATGGAGAAAGACAGTGCAAGGCAGCAGCAACAGATTGAGAACCAAATGTATATGGCTCATGAAAAGAGCCTGGCAGATGCTGCTTTCTATCGGTGAAAACTCCCTGTTTCTTTTTTCAAGTTAGAGTATCTCAGTTGATATCTTTCAAGTGGATTTATGTACTTCCTTTCTCTCTCATTCAGGGTCATGAAAGAAGCTGAAGCAAACAAGTTGAAGCTTACTCCCCAGTTTCTCGAGCTGAAATTTATCGAAGCCATTGCTGATAATACTAAAATTTTCTTCGGGGACAAGGTTTTAACCCCTCTCTCTCTCCCACACACACCCTCCTACATGCTTGCCCGCTTTACCTACAAGCAAATTTAACGTGGCACGTTATTTTTGCAGGTACCGAACATGGTTCTTGATCAGAGACTGCTGGGAAATTTTCTGCAAAGGATGTCTGGAGAGATGGCTAGGGAAGCGGACTCCGAAGAAGTATGAAAATACAGATCGGAAATATAGGTTCCATCTTCAATCTGTCCATAGTGTGTGGCTAATAGCTGTATTCCCATACAGCTGCAAGACAATGATGAGAAATTGCTGATTGCATTCCATTTAAGCTTTGGTTTGGGGCTCTCACTTATGTTTTTTTTTTTTTTTTTTTTTTTTTGTCGCTATTTGGTGGTTGCTACCAATGTTATATGCGTTACAGTTGATGTCATTGAGAGAAACAAGGTAGTTATGTTTTCTTAGGTTAAACATTCTTGTATTTTACTGCACTTTT